GGTGGAGCTGAGGAGAGAAACCCATACTACCCCAACCGACTTGATCAGAGATCTTGGTCTCACCAAGTCCAATGCCGAGCTTTTGACGTCTAGGCGCAAGCAGTGGAACTTGTTGGATTAAAGTGTGCAAGTCGCAGATCAGAGGAAGCATCACCAACCTTTTTGCAGCTTCTTCACCCATCAAGATGGGCTCTGCTTCTGCCACAATGTGACCAGTCTGTTCGAGGCAATCGGAATCGCCTGTAACCAGAATGAGTGCCGCCTCTTCATTGACAGCTCATCCAGGAGCCTCAAAGCCGTGCTGCTCCATAATGGTAACAAGTACCCGTCTCTTCTCCTGGCTCACTCGGTGCACCTCAAAGAGGATTACAACAGCATCAAGACCTTGCTGTATGCCTTGAAGTATGATGAGTACGGCTGGGAGGTCATCGGAGACTTCAAAATGGTGACATTCTTGATGGGCACCCAAGGCAGTTTTACCAAGTTTCCCTGCTATCTTTGAATTTGGGACAGCAGGGACACCAAGGCGCACTACCACAGGCAGGACTGGCCACAGCCGATCAAGTTCTCTGTGGGAAGGAACAACGTCAAGCGGGAGCTACTGGTGGACCCCCGGAAGGTGCTGATGCCACCACAGCACATCAAATTGGGCCTTGTGAAACAATTGTTCAGAGCTAGAGATAAGGAGTCGGCAGCCTTCAAGTACCTTCAAGACTTCTTCCCTAAGCTGTCTAAGGCAAAGTTCAAAGCCGGTGTCTTTGTCGGACCACAGATAAAGAAGATCCTGGAGTGCAATGAATTCCCCAAGAAGCTCACTAGTAAGGAGAAAGCAGCTTGGAACAGCTTTGTCGCAGTGGTTCGTGGTATCCTGGGCAATCACAGGGTCGAAAACTGTTGAGCTGGTTGAGACTCTGGTGAAGAACTACGGCACAATGGGCTGTAGGATGTCCCTCAAAGTCCATATCCTTGATGCTCATCTTGATACATTCAAGCAGAACATGGGAGCGTACTCGGAGGAGCAAGGCGAGCACTTCCACCAGGATATACTGGACTTTGAACGCCGCTACCAAGGGCAGTATATTCGTGAAAGTGATTTACAGTATAATCGTAAATCTTTTGTAGTCATTTTTGAATTACTTTAGTATAAATACATGTAAATTATTATTCATATGTTGTTTTTTTTCAAATTGTCACTGTCCTGGTCACAAAAGCAAAGTTTGTGGGGAATAATAGCCATTTTCTATACTTTTTTAGGCATAAGCAATTATGAAATAACACTTACTACCCAGGAACAAAAATTGTGTTACATAGTGTAATTATTGGTCTCTTGGGAATCGGATGCAGATGTAATGCGGTTTTTTGCACGGATGAGGTTTGTTCGTTACATTTCGGTTTAATTTAACGGGCGTTGCGGCTGGAGTGTTTGTTTCAAAACTATGTTTTACAGATCCATTATTGAAAAAACATGCGTGAAATGTTTCCCGAGTCTTATGTTTTGTCACGTTTTACATAAGTACCTTTATGTAATCCAGGTCCGCTTATCCACTGTGCACAACATGTACACTTCGCCTCGGGATAATGGTTGGAGGGATTATTGCAATACATTTTCAAGCACATGCTTGTCACGCGGTGCGCATTTGATAACACTATGTTCTGCAGCTGCTTTCCACGGTAGCGTAATTACATTTTTTAATAGCATGCCTCTAGACTTGCCCGTGACACTCCCAACATCATCGTCCTGGCTTGTTTGCATGTCGCGTGTTTTTTTGGAAAGCTTCACGCTTATACAGTGCCCCTGTACGTATATATAAACACACACACACGACAAGCCCCCTTTTCCTCCCATTGCCGTCACTAGACGCGTGCGTTCGTCACAGCTGCTGACACATAATAGGGGCAGGCCGGTGGAGGGGCGTGCTATTAATAAACGGACAGGACTCTTAAGCCGCACCGCGTACGACTTTAGCTTCTCATGTTGTCGCGAGTGGCCGAACGCGAGCGCCAAACAGAAATCTCCGTTTGCCCCATAGCCAAACAAACTCCTTTCGGCAGATAAATAGGCGTTGGGTCATGGGAACATTTCATCCGCGCTTGTAGTTACAGAGGGGCAATATTAATGTCTTACGTGACGAAAAAATAGCTATCCATGTTTTGTTATGGGTTTTTTTTTTACTGAACATGCACATATGATGGTTTGTTTGCCCAGATGAGTGCTAACGCGGCTGCCCAGATTTTTTTGTTTGGCTTGCTGTCGTGTCATTTATTTAATACAAAACTAGCATGTATAGGCAGGACATTTACTTTGGTGCTATTGTTTCAGGACAGTCAAGTTTTCACTTTAATCCTAGGTAAGTCTTCCTTTGAACTGCTGTACTATTGCTCTTCAAGTGTATTTGATTTAACGTGTTTCGAGTGAATATTTTAGTTAATAGTTGAGAGATAACGGTCACAAATGTTTAATAGTGCCTTGTTTCTGGATGAATGGAATTTGATGTGAATAACTTTTGCCGATTGTTATTGGTGGCTTACTGCGTGAAGTTTCGTGTGGAAAAAAACTGAATCGGTGTTGGAAAATATATCCGTTTTCAATGTATGGTTTTTTAATGAAAATGTTCTGTATATGCAACAGTGGGGTGTCATGTGACAGCTGTGCAGAATAATAGAGCATAATTGAAATAATTATTGGCATTTAATAAAGCATCCACTTCAATATGCGCATCAAATATTGTTCGATATTCCAAGCGTTAAATAGTATATATACCTTTGACTCTTAGAATGTTTTGTTTCTGACTGCATGCTAAGATGTTTTTACTCCTGAAATTAGATTAACAGGAAAGCCTTCGCAGTTGCCTTTTGGGCGAGAACTAACTGCAAATGGTTAATGGTTACTGCGTACACCACGATGCTAACAGTGATTCCAGCACATTAAAATGTCAAACTTTAAATTCACGTAATTATGTTCAATGTGCTATATCTTGTCCACGTTTTTTCACCTGGCTCCTCCTTACACTGGCAACTCCTCACCCCGTCCTTTAAACTAGTGGCGCTCTTCCCAAAAATGCTGTGTCCGTCCGTTTGTGCATTTTGGTTTCTGGGAACTGTCGACCGTGACGCAATATTAAGCACATGCCCCTGCCGCTGCTGCTGGTAACTGCCGAGATGTTTGTAGATGGCATAAAAGGATTGTATTCGCGTGTAACAAACTGCATGTAATAAATAGTGACCTTTTTTTTAGCCTGTATTGTTTTTGTTTCAGGTTATAAAGCAAACGTTGACCTTGGTTGATTTGGGTCATTGCTCACAAAACTAATTAAATGTATTTAAACTGGCTTCATAACTAATGAACATTTTTGCTCATGGCATTGTTTGAATGTGTAGTAATAATCAGTATATTAAAGTTTCAACTAAATATTATTTTCATTCCTCTGGGCCTAAAAAGTCACACGGTTCCATTAATTTCTTAAAACCCGGTGCTTATAGTTCACTACGTATTAGGAGTATTGCCTTAATGAGTGCTTTGCCATAATGAGTGCTTTGCCATAATTGAATACACATGTAGTTACTATTACTTTGACAAAACTGTCATTTCTAGGAACAACATTTAAAATTATATTCTTGTGAAAATATGTAAACGTTTATGGGTACAGTACTGTCTTCAGTTTTTTTCTCCATCCTGCTTATCAAACAATTTCGTACTCTAGTTCTTACAAAGTATTTTGTTACAAGGCTGTGAACGTACAGCGTTATTTGTCAACAATATATAATGAATTGGATAGAACGTGATGTTATTAATTTCATGTCATTAAGGGATTTAAAAGTAAAAAATAAAATATATTGTTAACAAATTCATAAGCGTAGCATCCACATTGCGGACTTATGAAATGCATTTTTTTGCCCGAATTATTTTTATCAAGCTACAAACTTGAGTTATTTCCTTAAACACGTCTGAATACTGAACATTTTTACTGTATTGCAACACAGACAAGTATGTCACGTGACTTACCGAAGTCGAGGGCTCATTTGTACATGTTACATTTTTACATGTACAGTAATTCCTTGTTTCTAATGGTAGATGCATTCCTGATAAGTGCTGCGTTATGCAAAAACCAGGTTAAGCGAGCAATTCCTGTTACTGAATTGCATTTGCACTATAAAATCAGCCTGCTGTCATCCTACGGCAGAGCAAATAACTGATATGTGGGAGCGCCGCTCAGCTGCGTAAAATCAAGAATGTAGTTCGTCTGACACTCAGAAACCGAGTTATAACGGGCGCGTTCCACATTGTGCAATGTGTTCTCGAATGGAGGAACTGTGTTATCGCGAAAATGCGTTGTGTGAGCACCACGCGTCAAGCAAAGACTTACTGTGTTGCGTAATTAGCGTAAAGGGTGAGGAAATGGATGTCGAAATGAATCAAAGAAAGGAATTTTGCATCTCAACATGTGATTCGGGTCACTGTACTGGTGATGTACAATGGTGCCTATGACATTCTTTTTAGTTTTAACATCACTTCCTCCACATTCCAAACATACCTTAAACGCAGTTTAACATGTAGGCTTTCGTGACCAATATTCGTTGGTTGTCATAACCAGCAAAACTTCTTACTCATATTGTAAATATTGTGGGTTTACTCTCCAACAAACCAGTGTGCTGAAGTTGTAACTATCTAACCCAAAAAAACTGTATTATGGATGTGTTAAATCCATAATACCAATGTTTTTTCTAATTTATTGAGTGTATTTAATTGTCCCATGTGACTGGCTGCATTTGGACACATGCTTGTTGGTTTAAACTAAAATAATCTTTTACCGAAAGCGATGAGGAAAATTCCAGCATGCCGGAATATTTAGTTAGAATTATGTGATCGCTTTGGATCGATCACAAAAACTAAACACTTCCACCGTATATATTTTTAAAAGTCTGTGAGATTTATCGCCGCTTAGTACCGGGTCGATGACGTTGCGTTCTCCTTTTCCATTTATGTTTGCCGCCCTCCTCAGCAATGACGACTCGCTACAGGGCCTGCTGGAAAAGCTGCCCCAGCGCCCACCACTCGCGCCACGCAAGCGCACGACCAGCCAGAGCAAAACTGAGCCGCCGCTGCTGCGCACCAGCAAGCGTACCATCTACACGGCCGGTCGGCCACCTTGGTACAACGAGCAGGGAGCGCAATTCAAGGAGGCTTTTGTCATAGGTAATACTGTACGCGCCAAAAATGTATATTATCTGGCAGCTCGACAGATTGATGTCCACCGCACCTCACGCTGAACCGATTTGTTCTCAAATCTGCCCTCGGTCCGGTCGTAGGTTTAGCTAAAATGGAAGGCTGTGCGATTCTGTAAATAATTCAACATGTTAGGAGTCGAAAAAACTGCGTTGTTGATGCATACATTATGTTTTTGGTATTTTAAAAGTATTTAGTTTATTAGACAGAGTTCTGATTGTATGATTGCCCCGGGGATATGCAAAACCAGTATAGTTTTGCAAACAAATTTAGATATGACAAAAAAACACGGCATTTACTATAATGAGGCAAGAATGTCAGTGTGTCTCGTGCGTGGCATCACTCCACGTCTGCCAGCCCCCCTCATCAATAATCATGGCCAGGTGACGTTCTCGTCCTCCACATGGACCCCCCCTCATTAATAATCATGAGCAGGTGACGCCACTCCACATCAAACAGCCTCCCTCATTAATAATCGTGAAGAGGTGGCGTCTTCCAAATGGACATCCCCCCCATTAATAATAATTAGCGGGCGACGTCACTCCACATGGGGGGGCGAGGCGCCTCCTCCCCTCTCCTCGGCGTCAACTGACAACCCTCACTACAAAGGCAGAACCCTCGCATCACGCCATCTCCGTAACGCTGTTGAGACATCAAAGTAAAAAGGACGTCATGATGAACAAGGGATTATAACCTTTAAATGAAATAAGTCTGTGTCACCCGCGGCCTTACAAATTGCACACTAATTGATGCAATGAATATCACGTCGCGCTCTGCTTTTCGCTTGCAAGTTTCAAATTTACTGAAATACACCCATCCAAGGACAGGCCAAAGGCTAGTGCTATAAAGTTTGCTTACTTATTAGGGTGTGTTAAACTAAAGCAGTAAATCTTATCGTTAACGGTAAAACAGCAATCACTTAAAGGATAAGCATTTTAATTTTTGATTTAAAGCTTCCGTGACTGCAGGGATTCATATTCTTGGTTCTTTCGGTAAAGTCACGTAGAAGGGAAACAATAAAATAATAAAAATATAAAACAATTGTATTGTTTTCCTTCTACGTGACTTTACCGAAAGAACCAAGAATATGATCAGAATTTTGTTCAGTCATTGGTGAATTTGTATGCTTGTCATGCAATTTACCTTTACCTGCCGTTGTACCTAGCAAAGTTGGAGTTACTGTAGTTTACAATGCGACCATTGCCACCTTTCTCAGATAATTACGGGTACTTTAACGTATTTGTAGGTGCTAACGCTCGAGGTTAGGGTGAGAAATACATAAATTAAGCCTTAATGTAAAAAGTTATCTGAAACAAACGTTGATGTGTTTAACCTGCTGTTGAATTATTTATACATTTGCCAAACCTTAACACCGCATGATCTCTAGGCAGGTTGTGACCAAACAAACATAAGTAGCTCTCCTATTTAGGTCTCTTTGTCCTGTGGCTCATTTAACATTGTGTGAGTGTCTTTGTATGCAGGCCTATGTGGTGGGAGTGCTTCTGGGAAGACCACTGTAGCCAATAAAATCATAGAGGCCCTGGATGTGCCATGGGTCGCCCTGCTTTCCATGGATTCTTTCTACAAGGTGCAGTGTGGTTTATCACAATTGATTGTAAGGTTTCATATTTAGCCTGGTTTTACTGTATATATGTTGAACTTCTTTCACACCGTACCTAACTAACCATGCTAATCGGAGGTACTGCTCAATGGTGCATCTGCCTTTATGCTTGATGAGTGGAATTCCTTTTAATAGTATAGATTTATAGTCGGTTAAAATATTTGCCACAAATTACTCATTTGGGATTACACACAGCAATCTTTGGCTCCTACTGGCAGACCAATGCTCATTTGCTGACCATTTGCCCGAGTGAACTTGTGCCGTACAGGGACAGCTGCGATGGGGAGGTCTCCTTTGACTGCTTGAGATGAGATTGCGATGAAAGCGCTTTTGAGATGCCGATGCTCATAAAGCGCCCTTTCAATGCAAAGACAATAATTGAACAGCAACTCAATTCAAAAGTTCCTCTGAAAGTGTGCAATCTCTCAAAGTTCTCAATACATGAAAGTTTCATGAATATTATCCAATGTGTATATTTATTTCAAATGTTAATTTAATATTCCATTGAGTAAGTTAATTGTTACTTTGTAACTGACGTGAATATAAAAAAGTGTAAACAAGCTTTTTCGTGCCAAGGTTTTGTTCAGTTATTATCCTGGTTCTACACGCTCATCTGTTGTTACCAGGTGGCCCTCATGCTATTGCGTAATAGATAATGTGGTGTAACACTCGTGTCAATTTTACATCGTCAACTTTGTTGCACTTTGACATCTTACTTAAAAGCATTGTTCACGGTCGCAGATTTTTAGTAAGGAAGAGCAGGAGATGGCTGCAAAGAGTGAATACAACTTTGACCACCCAGATGCGTTTGACTTTGAACTCATCATCAGCACTCTCCGTAAGTTGAAGAAGGGAAAGAGTGTGAAGGTGCCCATCTACGACTTCACCACGCACAGTCGGAGGAAAGAATCGGTATGCCAGTTGTACATGATCAAATTCATACCGCAGCATTTCATGAAGTAGTCATTCTTAAATGCCAAGGAAGTGAGGATATAAGAAAAAAAATATCCTACACTTACAGGCTGTTTATGATATGTAAATATATATTGAATCTTTCTTAAACCGAGAGATGGTTTAAACGTCCAACGACTTGTACTTTTAATGTTTTCTAGAAAACGGTGTACGGAGCAAATGTAATAATATTTGAAGGCATCCTGTCATTTGCAAACAAAGAGCTCCTGAAGGTAAGCTGCTTACTCATAGTCCACTGGTTCACAATCGTGAGTTAATTAACATACACTGCACGTGATGGACTGAGTTTCACAGAATTTATTTCAGGTGTACTTTGGACTCATACGGAAATGTTATTCACGTGCCATAAATGTTTAATGGAAATATAAAAAATATAAATAATCAATTTTAACCTATTTCTTGTGTAGCCTATGACCAAATAACCCAGAATGCGCTAGATATTGGGAACTCCGCAGGGTTAAACCTAGACATAAATGGGTGACCGCTATGGACAAACATTGTAATAGGGCTTATGGGGCTATGTGTTGGGCAGTGCAAATATAACTGTACTGTATTTCTATGCTCCAACATCTAAGCTTTCTGCATTCACCACCCTGCACAGAGGACCTTATTCCACAATGAATTGACAAAAATGGCCGTACATCTCCTTGATTCCACGGCGTACATACACGCGCGTGTACGGCAACGGCCCATCACAAATTAATCCTCGGCTCGTGCCGTTGGTTTCTCGGTGCCACCCAGCTGCTCGACATGAAGGTGTTTGTGGACACCGATTCGGACATTCGTCTCGTGCGGCGCCTGCGGAGGGACATCACGGAGCGCGGGCGAGACATCCACGGCGTCATCAAGCAGTACAACAAGTTTGTGAAGCCGGCGTTCGAGCAGTACATCGAGCCCACCATGCAGCTGGCCGACATCGTTGTGCCACGAGGTGGGCACGCAGGGCATGCTATTTGGACTCTTTTTACCCTCGAAATTGTGTTCTCGCTGTCTGGTGGCCACCTGCTGGGGTTGAAATGTATGCATGTACGTTGAACTTCTTCCGCAGCCGTACATAGCCAACCGCGCTAATCGGAGGTGCAGGGGAGGGACAACAAACTAAACACAAAAAGCAGTTCTGAAGAAATGAGTTTTCATTCTAGATTTAATATTGAAGGTGCTTTTGGTCACAGGCTGCTTTGCTGCTTTCATAGCTAAAGCTCTGTGCACCCAGGTTCGTCGCTCGAAAGGGTTGATGGCCAATGACGAAGATTGATTATGGGATGTATATATTTCCACACTTCCGATTAGCATGGTTGGCTACGTACGGTGCGAAAGAAGTTCACCATGTATGTATGTATGTCGAACTTCTTTCGCACAGCCAACCATGCTAATCGGAGGTGCGGGGAAATGACAACAAACTAAACACAAAAATAATTTCTAAAGAAATGAGTTTTTAAATCTAGTACATAGTTCCAGTGGCTTTCTAATATCTGAAGGAAGGAAGAGCAATCCAGACGGCTGCAGAAGCGCATCTGAAAGCGTGCGATGCGGTGACTGTCTTTGTTCGATGGCCATACAAAAGCCGCAGCTGCAAGGATGACCAGAGTATGCGTGATGGTTCTTCTTGATGGGAAATAATGTAACATGAGCAAACACAAGATCCAGGTTCGATTTAACACAGTACATAAAATTCGTGACCTGATCCCATCTGTGAAGGATGTGATCCCTGACATGCAATATCCCGGCATCTACAAACTAAGCTGTGCCTGCAGCAGTAGTTATATTAGGAAACTAAGCGACATGTCTCGGACCGTGTTCGTGAACATAAGGCAGATCTGAAACACGGTAGGACCAATGCCGTGGCCGATCATTGTTTTAATGCGGTGGGCTCACACGAAATGTATTTCTCCAAGACGAAGGTACTCTGCAAACCCACTGGCTATCAACAAAGATTCGTTCATGAAGCCATCCAGATATATAGACATAGACACAATTTCAACCGAGAAGATGGGTACAAACTGAGCAATCATTGGAAGGACCGTTATTAACCAGTTTAAGTCATAACTGGCTGTGATGTTTCCATCCTACCTTCTGATGTTAGCAGTTATTTTCGACTGTCTGATTTTACATTAACAGGTTCACACTAACACAGCCACCGTTTACATTGACATGCTAATCTTTCTCACTTTAACATCAATAGCCCCGCCCACTCCATTTATGACCCTTGGGCCACACCCATTTAAAAACTTTAAAAACAGCCTGCATCAGCAGCTTTCCCCCTCTTTTTTTATCCTGATGACGATTGCCTGTGTTGCAATCGAAACGTCGTGATATTTATATTATTTTCAGATTCACTATATATTTTTTTTATTATTTTACTGTTCTATCTACGTGACTTTACCGAAAGACCCAAATAATAATGCAACTCTTTTTCCACTGTCCAACCGAGCCAGCATGGCGTGGCTCAGGAGGTCTGTCAGATTGTTTTTCTACTGCAAAAGATTAGCCGTGCCACGGACGTCATACACAAGCTCCATGTAGCTGACGCGGTATTGCAGTGTCCTCACGGTGTGCTTACTGGCGTTACACGGAATTAATGTGCCATTATCCCCTGCCTTTGGCCCTGCTTGGCTTCAAACCAGAATTCAGATCTCTTGTGAAGCCAGCCTTACACAGTTTGGCTCCGCCTCAGACAAAGCCATGAAGATTCTTGTGTTCCTTTGCCTTTGTATTTACTGCTTTATAACAGTGCCAATGTTAATGGGGAGGGGATTCTGCGATTCCGATCGTAGCTGTAAGTGATTTGCAGTCGAAAAACGTTGATTTGCGCTGTGTGAATCTAATGCTTAAGAGTACAAAGAAAACTGAGTTGTTATAAATAGTGTACGGCTTTGGTTCCTCTTGTGCAGAATATGCAACAATAATGTACATACTTTGGGCATGGAATGTACCCAATTCATATGTGGTGCACAGTGCAGGCTGTCACTAACCTGCCCCAATTTATGCAATTTAGCACAGTGGCACAGTGACAAGAATAGCTTCTCAAAGAATTGTGCTGTTTCAGCTTTTATCTAGACAGTTACTAGGAGATAGCGTGCAGTTGAGTCCTTAGAGGTTGTTTTAACACGTCATCTTTTTCCAGTCTGTATTGTGTTGTGCTTTACATATGCCTATGTCTCCATTACCAGAAAACCATTTATTTTGTACTATTTTAGACTGATTGTATAGTCTTACTGGTTCTAACCACTATTTTTAAAATAATTGTATTTACTCTGTGGTTACTTGTAAGCACGTTTATATTCCTATGCTCTCAACAACATTTTAGGAATAATTGCCAGGGATTTATCCCTCAGGCAAAATTGTCATCTTTTTGTTGTATTCAAAGGATGATGTAAAATAGCTCTCTGCGATCACATAACCACTTAAGCACGGTGATGTTTTTTTATGAAGCAAAATAATGGAAGCCATTATAACGTATACATTTTACTGATTACATCAGCGGCCTCTTTGCTGCTTCACAAGATATGGTCCATATTTTATTATTGTTGTCACAAATGATGGTACACAACAAGCCCACATCAGATTAAGTAAATGGGTTTTATTTTACGTGTCATTGGCTGAATAAAGTCAGTCTTTTTTACATTGTGTTTTTTTACATGGTTTTGACTCAAATGACACGAGTATAATTTTACTTTTACTAAATGGTGCTTTCTGGAAATAAAAAAATTAAATACTCCGATCCATACATGCTGCAATTCATGAGGCATTTTATAAACCAAAACAGCAATTTCAAATGTAGAACACTTAAAATGTTAAACCATAATACAGTGTTCTTGATAGCTTAGTTAATGTTTGACTGACTACGCTGATAGATTATTGTATAAACAACAGATTACTGGACGGTATGGTATGATATTTTACTTGAATGAGCATGGAGCGAAAGATACTTATTGTGTTTTAGGATAAACCCCATACTCCTCTTCTTTGGTTCTTTCGGTGAATCATTGCAGTCACGAAAGCTTTAAATCGAAACCCCATACTATTGGTTATCTTGTTGGTCAAAGGTCAAGGTGCAGCCCTGCAATTACCTCAAGAGGTTATGATGGCCTACGCTCCCATCCTGGCCAGACGTCTTGGGAGTAACCCACACTCTACCCCACTGCACGCGACCAGCCGATCGAATAACTGCGGTGTACCCACTGGTCGTGCCGTGTGGACAGAGGCGGACAGGGCGGGTGATAGTGCTTTCCAGGGATCTCCGAATTGCAAATCGGTGTGCTAACCATAATACCACAGGGAGCATCGTGCTGTTAATGTTGTTTTAAGCAGTGGCTGATCGCGTTGACCTTGAGCCCTAGAAGAAGAATGTGGATTAGCCACCTCGTTTTGGGAGTTTTAGCCAGCACTGTAATGGATTGTGATCTCACTGTGCTACTGTTCCCCCCCCACTGCCCTCCTGCTGCAGGTGGTGAGAATAACGTTGCCCTTGAACTCATCGTACAGCATGTTCACTGTCAGCTAGAGAAGGTACGCACGGGCGAAGTAAAACAAAAACCCGGTCGTTTTTTTTTACTTGCGCGCAATTAAATCCCTTAATTTAGCAATTTCGTTGAAAAGCAACTTTCAATAATTAATATGCTGTTCTTCGTAATTGAATTCTGTTTAATTCACACTAGATTAAGATGCCTTTGAGTAATTGTGCGATAATTCTTGGATTTTTTTAATTTATATTGCGTTTGCATGCCTTTGAAATTTAAATCGACAATGTAGTCTTCAGTTTCATGTTGTTGTTCTTTTTTTAATTGCTGTTTGACAAAGTAGATAGGGCTGCTGTAGGTTGTGTTTAAAGGCCACACTAAAATGCTGCAGATGTAGTACATTTCAGTTCTCTCCCTGTTGTTGTGTTAAGCTTTTGCCTTGCATTGAAATGAGATATGAGTTCACTATGACTGTGGAAGTTGAATTTGTTAAATTTAAAGGGCATTTAATTAAAATTGTATTTTATCACGTATTTTTGTGTGCCATTTGACATCGGCATACCACAGTAAAAACATTATGTTTGTGTCTTCATAGAAAGTAAAAGCAAGATTAAAATACCATGTCCTGAGCCACTAGTCCACATAGAGAGACACTAAGTCCCAATGAGCTGTCATCTGCTGGGCGGTGATGGCGCACACTTCTAATCCAACACTGGAGGCGAGGGTTTGGTGGATCAACCAAATTTTGTGACACTCCGTTTGTATGGGCATGAAGGTGTCATACCATTACAATTTTCAATATAGTTCTTTCATTGGATAAAAATGCAAACAAATACCGTTTTAAATAGCTGTTGTGCAGGGAGAGACCCTGAGCCTCTGCAGCAGTGGAATCTAAATGATCATATTTTGCCCGACTCACTTACTTGCAATGTCGAAGTCTAATGTTATTTTGTACTACCTATGCATTGCACACCCATTCAGCACATGCCATACTTTGTTGTATATTGAGAATTGAATGCGTAAAATGTAAATTTTCATAAAGTTTAATCGTATGCGGTCGTAATATAATACAGTATATGAGCATGTGTACAGGCATGCGTAGACATGTTTACAGATTATGAATGTGATTTTGAATGTGCTACACTTTGGATTAGTGTGTACGTATTTAAATCCAAATTGCGGTTACGTGATTGCATACAAAGTACGGCAGATCATTTAACTACTGTGTGCTGTGAAAGAGTCCGTAAATAATTAGTGCAACTTTTCATTTTTTTCTTTCTCCCCATGTGTGATGTGTGACACACTTGCTAAACCCTGACCGAAATGTTTCTGTAACCATCTCAGCGTGAGAGCAGTGTGAGGTATGCTACCATGGTAAAGTACAGAATTGATTTTACCTTTGCGATATGGCAGAGAGGATAACCAGGAATTGCTGGTCCTCAGGTGTGCCGTAACATGGTTAAAGAATGTTGGGTGAAAATATCAAAACGCACTTGTGCTGCACCTGATGATTCATATAGATAGTGCGATTTTATTTGTGGCATAAGGAGAGCATACCTGAAGGCACGTTCTTTTCCTGGTTGTCTTCTCCGAGGTGTTTTTTTTGTCGAGAAAAACCAGTGAAAAATGTTGGCAGGTAAAATGCATTTATGAGCAGTTTCACCCAAGTTGTCTTGGTTTTTTTGTAGTTTTTTTCATTTCATTCAATTACAAGCTCTGGTTTAAAAAATACTAATCATCAACGCTAAAAATAACCGCGCAACATCCCTTTTGCATTTCCAATGAAATAATTACTACATCTGCCTGCATTTTGTGCTGTTTAGTAATTGTATAATGTTGCTGCCTATAGGGGATTCCCAGTATTTCTCTTCTGGTTGTTTCAGGTTTAAATGGAACACACGCTAATTTATGTCTCGGATTGAAGCGTAATCAATACGGTGCATGGGTGTAGCGGCGGGAAATTAATCGGTCGTACAACATGTAAATAGTTGTATCAAGATGTGTTCCATCCACCTGGAATTCCAGAGGAGAACCACCTCACTCTTGTTGGTCAAGTACAGCAGCAGCCTAATGTATTTGTCCTATTTGTGTTCTCTGTGTTTGTTTTTTACCATGAATATTTTCTTCCATAACCCCGCTCTGAATATTACCCAACTGAACAGAGGAAACTTCGCTGGGATATGTGAGAGAATTTGCATATTCTTTAATACTACACAAATGCCCTTTTGGTTGTTCTCTTTATGGCCGTTGTGCACTAAATTAACGAGGAGCATGAATTAATCACATCACGAAATTTGGTAATCGTTAACTAATTTGGAAATTAATTTTTGCGTTGATTTGGATGACAAATTAACCATCTAGCGTTTTTTTTGTATATATATAACTGCACATGTTGGTAAAGTTTTGATTTAAAGCTTTCGCGACTGCAGGGATTCATATTCTTGGTTCCTCCGGTAAAGTCACGTAGAAGGGAAACAATAAAAAATAAAAATATATAAAATTGTTGTTTTTATTGTTTTATAATTTTATTATTTTACTGTTTCCCTTCTACGTGACTTTACCGAAAGAACCAAGAATATGTTGGCAATGGCTTGCAGTTCCTGACTTGCCTGAACATGCTAACAGCTCTGCAAGAGATTTGTGTTTGTTTATTTTGCCCCCCCCCCCCTTCAGTGAGACATATTCCTGTGACCATACTTTGTTTTTGCCTTAAATTCCACAATTATAACTAATTCTTTATAATCTCTCTGCCCCCTTTATTATTTTTGTGACCTATCACAATATTGATTATCTTTACAAAATATTTTCGTACTCGATCTTTCTGTGTTGTGTTGTGTTGTATGCTGTGTAGTTTGGTAGTTACGTAAGAGCTGACGAGATCAACATGTGGTTTAACATTATGGAAAAAAGTTGGTGGGCGTTGTGCAAAATTGGCACGTGCCGTACTTAATCTTGGATTTGTGTTGCAAGTCAACCTGCCACCGCACATTTTTAAGTATCTTCGAATAACAAATGACATTTGATTATTGCCATTGTTGATTTCATTGAGCTAAAATAAGTAAAGTAACCGATGTGTTCTCCATATAAACAAGCAGGATAGCCATGTGCACTGTTATTTTATAAATCGTTTGCATTTACTTCAACGTATTCATATATTGCAATAGGTGACTGTTCATCTTTTTAACGACCTATTGGCACTTTGCGTTTGAACAAAATTCCATTTAATGTAAAGCATCTTACGTTAGAGCAGTCATCGCCTTAGTATTTACAAAATGACATGGCATTATGGTTAACCCACTTGTGGAAGAACACTTTCGTAAAGGTTTGATTTTAAATTATCATGGTACTCATCTGGCGGTACATTGCCTCGTTATTTCAAGTGGCACTAAAATCAGCCACATGTAAATAGTTTTACATTGTTTGAAAAAAACCACGTAAATTTATATATAACCGTGAACAATTTTTATTCAATGCACCACCAGATGGGTGAAGTTAATGTTGTTTAATTGCATGTGAAATATGTGGATAAGTTTCTGTTTAAGTGACACTTTTTAATTTTGTATTGTAGAACTGAAAAAATGTGTTCATGAGATTGAGCATAAAATTGTGAAATATAAATTTTATCTCAAGTGAGAATTGCATCATTAAACAAGCAGAATTTTTATCTGAGTAAATTAATCCAAACATTCCTAAATTGTTTTTATTCTCACTGTAAAGATTGGACGTCCAAACACATTTTTTCAGACTGAATATACAATGTTGGTTTAAACTTCATTCTATTTAAAAACTTCTGCATGAGAGCTTTGCTGATGGCATAGAGTTTGTAATAAAAATTATCTTGTTTAGAATAAAAACACTTTTGCAATCATTTAAATTGCCATTGTATTGTAGACTTGAATTAGTATTCTTTTAATTGATGTACATTCCACTTTTGAAAAAGTACTCTAATTAACACAGGTCTCATAGGTTTATGTGTATGGTAAATAAAACATCTATTTTTGCTTCCGAATGATGCAGCAGAAGTTCTTAACAAGGATGCCCTTATCCTAAGCAACTGGCCATGCCTGTGGATGGTTCACTTGCATTATTTGTCTTTCGGTTTCGCTTAGGGCAGCACTAGCGTCCGCCCACCAAGCGCAGCCTCTTCCAGAGACGCTCAACGTGCTGGAGAACTCGCCGCAAGTCCGCGGCATGCACACCATCATCCGGTACGGTCCTCGCGTGCCGCACCAACGCCACCATCGGCATGCCAACCTGTGGACACACGACGACAGTGTGCAGCAGCAGCAGCAGCAGCAGCGCGTTAACTGTGCAGTGGGTGAGATTTCTGCAGTTTATAAAATTATTGTTGCATTCAAGGTGGAACAGAAAAAGATTTGAAGTTTTCGTGACTGCAGTGATCCATACTCTTTTTGGTTCTTTCGGTAAAGTCACTTAGGTCTAAAATAAAATTAATTAAATCACGACGTTTCGATTGCAACACAAGCAATCGGCAAACAATGTTCTTGCTGTGGTTTTTCCCACCTGATGATGATTGCTTGTGTTGCAATCGAAACGTCGTGATTAAATGTATTTGATTTTATACCCACGTGACTTTACCGAAAACCAAAGAGTATGGATAGAAAAAGGTTGAGAATATCGACACAACGGCAACCAAGGGAGAGAACGTGCCCCATGGTACCTCCATAGCAGAGAGAGCAATGGAATCGGCTCGTGTGCAGATGCTAGGTGGTTGTTACATCACAGAACTGCGGCGTAGGGGAGACGATGCCCACATCTGCTCGAGTCATCTGTTTAGAGGAGCTGTGCTCAGCTTATGATTTTTTTTTTGCGCTCGGGCCTATGCCTACAAGTGTTGTTCGCTGATCTAAGGTGATATAATGGACACCAATTAACTTCACAGAACCATGTGAGATCAAAATAACTTGGGAACGTCTTCATCTTGCAGAGGATTGATCACGGCTGCTGGTGATAATGGTTCAGGTGATGCATGTGATAGCTGTACCCAATGGGTTTTGTATGTGTTAATGGCCCCATGTGCTGGAGCTTCTAACTCCCACTCGAGGTCAGGGTTTCCCAAATTCCAGTCCTCGCGACCCACCACACTACATCCTCCTTCCACGTTTACAAATTTACTTTCATTCAAATACAAATTAACTTCCCCACTACACACGCCCGATGACTGTTAAACACGTCCCACGTGACACGCTAAGCAATTAACACTGTCTGCGTCACGTGGAACACGTGCGTACATGCAAATATTGAACACATTTGCACACACTCATACACAGATCTAAATGTTAATTTGAATTGGCTCTTTTAAAGCAGACGTGGGACGTGCTTAACTATTATCGGGCGTGTGCAGCGTGGAACAAGTTATTAATTTTTAATGCAGTGCATTGCTAAACATCGAAAGACGTAGGATGGTGGATCGCAAGGACTTGAGTTTGGAAACCCTGCTGTCGGTAGTGTCACTGAGAATCTGAAGACGAAAAATGTGCTAGTCACCATGACAAATATTGCAGTGCCCCCTAACGGCTGTTATTGTTAAAGTCATTGGTCCTACCATGTAATTATACAAGTAGCATCGTTCAAAGAAATTTCACTTGACACATTCCTGCGGAGGGAGCTGGTAGGAACGTTGGATTGCTCAGTCAATGGCCAGGGTCAACGGCGGCGTGGTGTATTCCGCAAATATGCCCGACTGTGAGGGCGGGCACAAGCCGGCGTAAGTAGGTTAAACGTTGAGTTTTATAAGGGCACCACGGGGTGACCAGCCCCTCCCCACCCAGCCCCACCCCTCCCACCCAGCCCCACCCAGCCCCACCCAGCCCCTCCCTCCCCACCCTCTCCACCCAGCCCCACCCCTCCCATTTTTGGATGCACGACGGACGGACACAATAATTCCCTGTGGGCTGGTGTAACCAGGAGGTTAGTATAACCTATGCTTAATCTGTAACTCTATTGCACCATGTTGTATTTTACAGAAGCAAGGATACAAGCCGAGACGAGTTTATTTTCTACTCCAAGAGACTCATGCGACTGTTAATAGAGCACGCGTTGTCATTTTTACCGTTTCGGGTAGGTGTACGAACTTGGCCGCTATTTTTACTGCATGGCAGCGCGGTTAACTGCGTAAAGTTACCACGCACACTCTGTAAAGGTACATGGAGGACAATGTAACAATGTTATTTTATGTTTTTCACGAAGATTTACATTTTGTCTTACAATCGTACGTTTAATATATCTCTTATACGCCTGTTAACCAGGCTTACTTTGAATGTGTGCAAGTTGACTTGACGTCTGTGTTGTAATGCACACAAACCGTATATCTTAACATTCTGCATCCACAGGACATGTCTGTGGAAACGTACCAGCAAACAATGTACGAAGGGCGCAAATTTGATGGAAAGCGCGTAAGTTACATTTGCACAACACGGTCAAGTCCAAATTGATTGATTACACTAGTTAAACCAATCACAATTAATTAGCTTAGCTACTTAATTTGGATCAATTCGAGCTCTGAGAATTGAAAATAACGGTTTGATGGATGCATATTTGTATGTGCTGTCTCATGAGCAGGACTCGAACATTTCAGTAATGCCACTTTCTTTGGGCCTTGTAAAATACAATGGTTGGTACACTGCTCTGCAAAGCTCTGAATGAATACTTTATCTTATAACACGATGCCTATCGCACAATTGGAATACAATTTGGACAAATAGCATGAGAATAATTTTCAGTTTTACACAATTGTTAGGTATAATAAAATCAACCAAAACAACAAGAAGACCCATTTTTTTCGATTTCGGTTTGAAAAAAACTATATTTCAAGAGCCACAATGCACGTGAATACAAGACGGTCTTTAATAAATAACATCACGAAGAAGTCATTTATGAGCCACATACGGCTTCGAGGCCGCAGGTTTGCCGACCCCTTCCCATGGTGAACTGGACTTCCATGGTGAACTGGACTTCCATGGTCAGGGGTCAGCAATCAAAATAACAAAAAAAAATATTTTTTAATTTCTAATTTTAAGAGCCGCACTGCCGTCCTTAAAGAGCCCCATGCGGTTCCGGAGCCGCAGGTTTGCCGACCCCTGAACAAGATGATGTGCCACCAATTTATGTTCTCAGATCACGGGGGTGTCAATCCTGCGCGCCGGCGAGACCATGGAGCCGGCGCTGCGAGCTGTGTGCAAAGACATCCGACTTGGCAAGATCCTCATCCAAACCAACCACGCCACAGGCGAGCCCGAGGTACCCAGCATGACCCACGCGCGTTTCATCCTGGAGCTGGTGTGACACAAGTCACTGCCAGTAACCAAATTGCTAAGAAAACATCGACATTCACTTGCACTCCTCAATGTGTTTTCGTGTTCTAATGCTTTGTTGTTCGGCACGACGCCCGATGTTTCGCTCCGCATGCTGGAAGTTCCTGAAGACGCCCCTAACAGACAGAGTGAAACGTCGGACATTAAACTTATGCAGTAGTATATTCTTGGTTCTTTCGGTAAAGTCACGTAGAAGGGAAACAATAAAATAATAAAAATATAAAACAATACAATTCTACGTGACTTTACCGAAAGAACCAAGAATATGAATCCCTGCAGTCACGAAACCTTTAAATCAAAATTTATGCAGTAGTATTGACGTTGACCGTAAAACATGCCTATACGTCCCTACATATGCATACACATTTGAATAGTATACAATACTTTTCTCTGGGTGGCAGGACGTTTCATAATGCTTGATTATTGTTTTATCAATACAAACAATGGCAGTTTAACCAATAACATAATAAATCGTTTCGTGAATATATCCAACTCTTCAACAACAGCACCGCTGTTTTTATGACTGCTGAACATGACTTGACTTCTGCTCGTGATAAAGCCTTTTGTTGCTTCGCCACTTTACTTCTGCAAGCTGCACTACTTGAGGCTCCCCAAGGACATCAGTGAAGACCACGTGATGCTCATGGATTGTACAGTCTCCACGGGAGCTGCTGCATTGATGGCCATCCGCGTTCTGCTGGTAATCTCCACAATGCACCTTGCTTTTCGATTCGACGTAGACATTTTATTTGTTCGCGTAGATCCCAATGATCTGTTAAGTGTTTTTTTCATAGGTGTCCAGCCCAAAGTGTATTTGCGTATATAAGAACTCTGTTTTGTGTTTGCACATGTAAAAATATGCTTTAGTCCATCGGCCTACTGGCTTTCGAGACCAACATCTTCCAGCAGAATTGTTTAAAGCAAACAAACTCTGAACTGGTTTTGACCTTCTGGGTGTAACCAGCAAAAATAGGCTTGTTAGACATATGTTGTTGAGTTGCCAGACATCTTTGACAAAAGCATTCCATGTATCCTCTGGGGCTCTATTCAATGCAAAAAGCAACACCGGTCTTGTGTATTATTGCACTTTTAAATCAGTTGTGCGTATCGCAAATGTGTATCTTTGTTACCGTGTGGTGTTGATGTACAGGATCATGACGTGTGTGAGGACAAGATTTTCTTGGTGTCACTGCTGATGGCGGAGATGGGCGTACACTCGGTGGCCTACGCTTTCCCCAGCGTCAAAATCATCACCACAGCCGTGGACAAGAAAGTCAACGACAAGTTCCACATCATTCCCGGAATAGGTGGGTAACTTTTGCGACCCGGGTACATGTGGACCTCCTTGCTGATGTTGTTTGTAAAGTGCGTTGTGTAATTACGTTCATGCTTTTAGACATTCACTGTAGCATTAATGGACGTTTTGTGGTAAATATAGAAAAATAGTACATTGATTAGAATTCTCAATGGGCCATTGTTATGTCGTGTTGTTTTTACAAAATCATGAGTTGTCACCTCCTTCGTGTCCTTATGTGTCTTGTGTCATCGTTGTGGGTTTCAGGTAACTTTGGAGATCGGTACTTTGGAACGGATGCGCCGTCCGATTGGTGTGGGTATTACGAGGATGAAGACGAGCAAGACTTCTAAAGGGAAAGATGAAACAAGACGCACTGCATCATCCAAGGCGTCGACTACATCTCTTTTCCAATTCAACCATAAAATGTTTGTATGTAACAAAAACAGAACGCACAAGCAACTGCGTGAAGGGGCTATGATTGCCACTGACAAGTACAATGTAGGGTGTCGTATGTAATCCTAAAAACAACATGCAGGTCTATTGTCAAGTCAAATAGTTCACACAAATATCTCACAGTTGAACACGATGTAGCACCATACCATCTCATTACCCACTTCCCCTGTCAAGCTACATCACAGTCCGTCAACAGCACTATACTGCTGCCCAGTATCCTGCTATCGAAGTAGTACCCTTGCTTCCTTCCAGCCTCCAACTTGTGATCTTTTCGTCCAGGTAAAAAGGGGATATCTAGTTGAAAGAATCTTGAGCATATACTATGGAGTCCCCTTGGTCTGCTTTCTATTTGTCCTAAAATAGGACCTGTTTTAACTTGCGATCATGTCTGCTCAGCATATTCAGCATAGCATTGTAAATAATATTTTTCTCCATAGGGTGTAATTTATAAGCATGCTGTTTGGTTATAGTATGTATACCTTTTGCTGGTTTCAGAGGCTGTTAATTTTACCTTCACTTCGAATTGGTACATGGTATACTGTTGCAGCACTTTGCATGTTTGTTTTGCTTTAAAACTAAAATGTTGCTATTGCTGGTTGATTGGTTTGAGTAATTTACAAAACGACTAAGAAACATTGTGCTCAAGTCATGTATTGCATTTTTAATAAAAAAAGGTTTGGAATATCTGATTGTGCTGATATTCATTTTAAAGCATTTGTGCTTTCCCTAGAAATGTATTTCGAAATGTTATTAGATTGAGAGCAATTGCAAACTATAACAATTTGACCTTCATATTCAAAAATATAGGTTAGATTAACAAGCTATTGGAGTACCGATAATTAAATTAAAACTCATTAAATGCTAAAACATTTAACTCATTTCAGATTGGAGTGAGCTGGCTTAAACTAATTAAATACAACTTGATATCTAATTTAATCTAAGAAATCTTTATTTTCATCCAATGAAAAGGAGAAATTGGGATGTGACATCTTGATAAGGAATTGAGTGCATGGGCCAGTTTAGAGGAAATTTCATTCATGACGAAGAGCTTTTAATATAGGCAGTCACAGATTGCGATCTTTAATGGAACTAGCTTGAGAGAAATTGTCTGCAATGGGGACCAGGAATCTAAATTGGGGGAGCATTTTGATTTAAAGCTTTCGTGACTGCAGTAATTCATATTCTTAGCTCTTTCGGTAAAGTCAGGTTGAAGGGAAACAATAAAAGAATAAAATTATATATTTTATTACTTTATTGTTTCCCTTCAACATGACTTTACCGAAAGAGCTAAGAATATGGGGGAGCATTGTTTTGTTGACTCTTTGCCAGTGAAATTTTTGTTTGTCACAGACAGAACCGATCAACTTGCGTCACGCATTGTCACGTGGTAGTTTAACGCTCCCTCCTCGCAGATGGTGCCATTTGATCACTTTCCCACAGAAATAGCTCAAAACATAACGTCCACTGCCAGGCTATTGGTTTTTATCTTTACATTCGGCGATGGCTCACGGATATTTAAGTCTTTTTGCAAGGAGAAACTGGTTAAACGAGTTATAACTTGGACCTGTTGTGCAGCTCAGTAGCTCATCGGGTAGAGAGTTAAAGGTAACGTTGCAGCCCTGCAATTACTTGTTCAGGAACTCCGCTAGACGGAGCTCTTGATGGGATTTTGACTACCCACACTTTATTCCACCACAAGCGACCAAACGTTTTCATTCATCGGTTTGACTTAATGGTCTCCAATAAAGTTATCACCACCTGGTAATATAGTGAAGCCCTAGGAATGCTTTAAAAATGTGACATTTCTCAAAACTGTCAAGACTTGAATTAGCCACAAACTCTTAAGAATCTTCAGTATTTTAATTTGGCTTTGAGTCTCGGGCATTTATAATGAACTCAAACTCCCAAAATGAGCGTTGATTAGTCTGGCAGTGAGCCTGAGGCATTAACGAGAATCGAAAACTTAAAATTTTAAACGAATGTACAGTATTAGATTTCAATTCCAATCCATGACCTACTGAACAAGTCTTGAGAGAAGCTTTCCAGGATAAGCCGCATTGCATTTTTGTTACGATGGTGCCACTTGGTATACTGAGCATGCCCGCTATGCCTATGTCCCTTCTTAAAGAGACATTGTATTGCAGTAGTCGTTTATATCACGAGACATGATCAATTCACTCATGGATGAAGGCCATATACGGTACTTTAAATGTAGAATGCAAATATGCAATGGCAGTAAATTGCATACACTTTAGCCTTAGTCATCAACAACATACATTATTACAGTACTGTATAATGGCAATTATTTACCCAGGAAAGCCTCGCCAAGTCTCAATACTTTATTTTCATTATGAACCGGCATTGTAAACGGTCGACCGGTTCCATTCAATGATTGTTTGACTTCATGATGAAGACAACTGAAGCGCCCGCGGTGAAACACACTCAACAGCTGCCATCTCCTGGTGACATTTTTTCAGGCCAAGTTTACAACATCTGTCGAGTCCTGGTTAGTCAAGCAAGCAGGGCCGGCAGAGGGCCATTCACCACCAAATGTCCCATGGCTCACGCCTAAGTTTAATATGATTAGCGGTGAATCACTGTTATGGTGGCCACACATCATATCTGCTGGACACCCATCCGAGATGAGTAGGAAGCAGGTTCAAATCTCGGGGGCGCCACGGTGGCGAGATATTAACTCCCTCGCTAGGTATACAGCAGGTAGTGGTTTCAATCCCAACCCTGATCCCTGCTGTATATTTGCAGTTTGCGTGTCTCTCCCCAACATTTAGAATCAATATGCCTTTAGAGTATTTGGCTGATATACATTTTTTCACGATAAGCCACTTTGTTGAGCTACCATTTGTGGCCAGATCGCTTCTGAAAAAGAGCCACACCGCTCAGTGGGACTTACCTGCTAAAGTAAAAAATAATTTAATCTGCTTCACCTCCCACACTCAGCACTGCTATCACCTGGCCACTTCGCGGTCTGTGTGGTTTTTGCGATATTAAATTACTACAATGTTAAGAGAATGTACATACCGTGTATACGACTTGTAATGTAACTACATTTAATTGGGTTTGTCGCTTGAAGTTTGTTTTTCTACATATAATGAATACGCCCACCGAATAAATGACGCCACGAATTCATCTCGTGCACATGTGGCTCGGTTGCATTGGGGCGGCCTTTTATCTAGCAGTGGATTGACCGTGGTGATTGCTCATCATCAAACGAGCACAGCAGTCCATTGCTCGAGACACAAACATATCTGACGGTGAACCTTTCATTCGGTTTGTCGCTTGCCAAAAATAAACCAGGATTTATTTAAATGTACTGTACAGGGTGGTCCAAATGACTGGTGACTCCCATTTAATGGGCACCACGGTGGCCAGATGTTAACTACCTCGCCTGGTATACAGGAGGTTGTGGGTTTGGTTCTGACCCTTCCGCCTGTATATTTGGAGTTTGCGTATTCTCCCAGTGGGTTTGTCTCCGGGTCCTCTGGTTTTTCCCTCCACATTAAGTTTCATGCTCTTAGAGTACTGTATTTGGCTGCTACACATTTCCACATGATGATAAGCCACTCCGTTGAGGTATCATTTGTGATCGCCAGGTCGCTTCTGAAAAATAGCTATAAAGCTCAGTGGACCTCTGACTTGGTCAAAAAAAAAGTTACGTTTTTAGTTTAATTCTCTAAAACTTGTTTTAAAATAAGGATTAAATAAAAGAAATGATTATATGCAACGCGATGGTAAAAACAAATTAGGGATCAATTATTTGGGGGGGGTATCACAAGACATCTGGACCACCCTCTATAAACACATTCAGCGTCATTGACCGCCGCCGAGAACGCCGCCACGTGCCGACCACGTGGGTGTCTTGCTTTGCGTTAAGGGCATGGGAATCACGATCCATTCTGAATTACCACACCGCATTGGTATGGGGGGGGGAGCTTCTAAAGGGCCGTTCATAAATGACGTCACGCGATTTTGGACGATTGTTGACCCCCCCCCCTCGTCACACGGCGTCACAAAAAGTCAGACCCCCCCTCTCAAATATGACGTCACAAAGCTCTGCCCCCCCCCCAAAAAACATATTTCCATTTTGAAAATAAAACATGCTTCAAATCGCTTTAAACTATTGTCATTGTAGTGCGTATTTAATGTGGCGCTGCACTCTGATGTTGTAGGAGAAAACATTTATTAAAAAGTATATTTAATTAAGTAGAATGTGTTTATATTTAAAGTTGCGCATTTTGATGTGACGCCACATTTCTTAAACACCCCCCCACCTCGTCACACATCGTCACAAATCTCTGACCCCCACCTAGGTGCGTGACGTCATTTATGGCCGGCCCCTAAGTCACCAGGATCTTCTGTCATTGTGTTTGTGGGGGGGGGCGACCCCCGACCGCCCTCCGTTTGCGTTCGATGGGCCCGTCCAATAGCTGTGCTCCGGACGCGATGTTCGGATATCCCTTGTGCGCTCTACGAAATGTGGAATCGCGTGGCAGGCAACGACGCAGCCGTCAGCTGCGTTGTGTAACGCGTGGTGCCGGGGGCCGTCTTTGTCGTTCAGCGTCTCAAGAAGATCGACGACGGCTGTGTGTGCGTGTTCGCCAGGTGACAAGGGTCGACTCTCTCGGGGGGGGGGGGCCTCGTCGTACGCGTTTGCTGGTGCGTGGTGTAAATATCGACACTCGGTGACGACCGCACCAACAACACCAACACCACCACAACACCAACACCACCACAACAACCGCGTGCGTGCCGTGGTTGTTGGCTGGCCTGCCCCGTAGGTTTGCCGCTCGCCCCCCCCCCCCACTTGCTCCCCCCCCCCCACTTGCTCCCCCCCCCCACTTGCTCCCCCCCTCCACTTGCTCCCCCCCCACTTGCCCCCCCCCCACTTGCTCCCCCGCCCCCCAAAGAGGCTGTAACGTTGTGTGGGGGGGGGATCTTCGTCACTTCGTCTCGGGCCGCTCTCGTCGACTCGCCAGGCACGTGCTAGGCCACGTGCAAGGTGGTCCGCGGGAGAGAGTCGACGTCTGCGTCTTCATTGACGCCGCTTTGGATGTCGTCGTTAAAGTGCCCGCACTGGCTAGGCCACGTGCTGCGGTGCCCGCACGTGCTAGGCACGTGCTAGGCCACGTGCTGCGGCGCCCGCACGTGCTAGACACGTGCTAGGCCACGTGCTGCGGTGCCCGCACGTGGTAGGCCACGTGCTGCGGTGCCCGCACGTGGCCTAGCGCGCGTACCGCGCTACGCAACCCGCTTACTGTATATCAGAACCGGTCCCGGGCCCTCCCCCAAGGTCGACTCGAGTGACCGGTGCGGTGCGTGGTAAAAACATACATCGCCACTGGGGGGGGGGAGACAAAGGCGGCCGGGCGTGGTTGTTGGCCACCCAGCTCCTCGCGTGCCACAGTGCCGGGCTTCATAGGCGCTCCTCGCTAACAGCACTTGCCCCGGCAGTCTGTTAAGGCTACACGGGGGATCTTTGTAACTTGTCTCGTGTGGTGGAGCTCAGTCTTTGAATTGTGACGTGAAGAACTCCGTTTTCGAGGTTGTAGCGCGTCGTCCTTGCTCGTCGTTATGTCCGACGTTTCGCACCATGCACGTGCTGCGGCGGGATCGCGTTGGGGGCGGGGTGGGGGGCGCGCTGTTATGTTCCAAGTGCAGCGAAACGTCGGACGTGAATGCGACAAAGCGGTACAACCCGAACATTTGCTTCGCGTTGCTATCAAGTTATGCGTATGTCCTGTCATGCTGACGATTCGGGCAATGGTCCTACCTTAGAGTACGTGTTGGATACTGTACTGTACACTTGTCAAATACCGTACAGTACCCGGACATCTTATAAAGTAAAACAATTGCATAAGCAGCACTCTGTACGATGACCCCTAATAGCATTTTACAACTGCTCCGTTAACGCGCTACTAATTTAAAATCGCGAAGCCAATCCGCTGCTGGATGAAGGCTGTTTTGACCATACTTCACCACGTTTGTTCGGTGCTGATTATCGGTGAAGTTGGTGAGCTTGGGAATGAAACTGTGGTTCCCGAGTGAAGAGCACACGCCACCTACGTTAACAATGTACGTCGCCACTTGACCATACTTCACCACGCTGGTGAGGCCGGGGAGCATAGATGGTTTACGCATGGTATACAGCAAAGCGCTGTTACAGGCCTCTGCAACCAACCTAACTGTGCCCGCACTGCCCTCTGCTGACATCGTTGCAATCAAATGAAACTCTTTTAGAGTCTACACAAAACCACAAAGTTCATGATTTAGTGTGAAGTGGAGGGGGGGGGGGCGGTGGCTGTGATAATGAATCCCACAACGCGAACTGTGGTCAAGACCACGACCTTGCATTGTCCTTCAAACCGGCAGTGGACGGACTAAAAGGAGTTGGCGCTTTATTTTCCGCGTCGGTATAAAATTGTCACTATTTTAGTTTTCACTGCTTGGGTTATTGGCCGTCGAATGAACGTGCATTTTTTTTTGTTGCTGGGTTTTTTGTTCTTAAAGTTTTGCTTATCGCTTGCCGCTCGTTTGTGTTTTTTCAACCTTGTACAAAGTGCACACGCGCGGCATTGGTAAACTGTGGGCAAGGTCACGAATTCCCAGTGAGCACCGGATTTTGTTTTTTTTGAGAACCGTAGATGATCATGTTCAGTTGTTTGTGTGTGTGTGTGCGCGCAAGTGGCTGGGCAAAATACTCTTTTGGTTCTTTCGGTAAAGTCACGTAGGTATAAAATCTAAAATAAATAAATTCACGACGTTTCGATTGCAACACAAGCAATCATCATCAGATGTGAAAACTACAGCAATATTTTTTGGGGGGTTTTTGGGCAATGTCAGGTTTTGGCCAGAAGGTGGCATTGCTGTGACATGACACGGCACCAATGGGCAGTTATCATAGAGGCAATTGGTTCTTCACTCATTTTCAGAGTGGGGGGGGGGGTGTCAGACATTTGTGACGATGTGTGACGAGGTGGGGGGGGGGCCTTGAGAAATGTAACGTTACATCAAAATGCGCAACTTTTAATAAATATATAATTGTTATAACAGCACTAGTTGTTATAACAACACTCCTACAACATCAAAGTGCAGCGCCACATTAAATACGCACTACAATGACAATAGTTTAAAGCGATTTGAAGCATGTTTTATTTTCAAAATTGAAATATGGTTTTGGGGGTGGGGGGCAGAGCTTTTTGACGTCATATTTGAGTGGGGGGGGTCTGACTTTTTGTGACGCCGTGTGACGAGGCGGGGGGGGGAGAAAAATCGTCCAAAATCGCTTGACGTCATTTATGGACGGCCCCTAAGACATCATCGCTGTGAGGGTCGCCACACCATTTGAAACCATTGGGGGTTTGACAGCAGCACGACGACGATGATGATGATGGGGGGTCGTCACGTGTCGTGTGTTGTCGGGGGCCCCGCACGTCAGGGTCCGCACTAAAGGCCATCAGGAGCCCCCAGTAGCCCAGGGGCCTTGCAATGAAGAACGCAATCATCGGCAGTCCGGTTGGGGAATGAATCACAGTGCACAGACTTAAACGTACCCACTGGAGCTGTGACAAATAGTCGATTAATTGACGTTAAAATGTAATCGGATACATTCTAGTGGTCGATTACTCAAGCCCAGTTGAAAACTGTGGCTGCCCCCCCCCCCACATCCTTTCTCCTGAAGGCAGGAAACCCCCTACAACCCACGCCCAATGCTGATGATGTTGCCAAGCCCCGCCCATCACCTCCCATCCAGCGGCACACGTGGGAACAGATGTGAGACTTTTTAAACTGTTTTCGTCTTATCCGATAAGTCGAGTAATCGAACTGATATTCACTGGAGTGGTTGATTACCTAATTAACCGGATAGCACAGCTCATAAATAGTTTGAGATTTAATGACAGTGGTACAACTTGAAAGATCTACACCGCACCGCCACATCACCACAGTCCTCAGATCCCTTCAATCGCTCCCAACGTAGTCCCGAGTCAATTCTAAAATCACCCTCGTACTGTCTTCAGGATCATCCTACATGGATTCGTTACATCTCCCCTTCGTAGCTTTCTATTCTCTCCTCCATGTGCTCCCCTCTGCGATGACCAGGGACATCTAGAGCAGTGTTCTTCACTAATTTTCAGAGGTGGCCTTTTTTGCCAATAAGACAACAGTGTGAGAGCCGCCGCACATTTGAAAGCATTGGGTTTGACAGCAGCGTGATGTTTTGACACGTGTGTAAAGTCGAGGGCCGCACTAAAGGCCACCAGGGGCCGCACTAAAGGCCACCAGGGGCCGCTATTGTGCTGCGGGCCTTGCAATGAAGAACGCTGATCGACACCCTCCCGTCAACCTTCACTCAATGAAAATCTCCTTCTCTGCTGCTGCCCCCGTGGACTAGACTTCTCTTCCAATAGCCACAATTGCCTCTGTTCAATCACAGCTCAAAACTTGTATCATCTCTTCTGTCAATAACTGGTCCATCTCATGTGAAAATGTGTACGGTATCTCCACGTTTTCGTTGGTTGCCGTGGTGTGCTTGTTCTTACTCTCTGGAGAGCGTCTTGAGATTCAACTGCGTTGTTTCCCGCACCTACGGTTAGCACAGTTGGCTACGTATGGTACGAAAGAAGTTCAGCATACATACATTTATACATGCTATGAAATAATAATTATATTGCACGATGAGAATTCTTGCAAGATGTAGGCCGTCATGAAAACAGATAAGGTAGAACGTTGAATAGGGCGCTCGGTGAGCTTACTAATAATATAAAGCGTTTGGAATGTGTGCACCACTCCACCACAATTCTACGTGGGGTCCGTATCTCCAAGTGGGTGTTGGAGGATGTTGTGGTGGCAGTATTGGATCATGGGTTATATAAGGACCCCATTGTGAAATGCTGACTGGTGCAATGGAAAATATTTACTCCATCCATAATACAGCTTTTTTAGGTTAGATCGCGTAAAAATATAAAAGTGTCGTTAAACCCGCCACCACCCGACACAGCCAATCAGTAAGGTTTGTCACGTAAATATAACATGCCAATTCATTACTAGTGCAGCACACCGGTGTGTTGGAGAGCAAAACCACAACATTTACAATCTTGAGTACGACGTTTCGGCAGTAATTACAACTAGCTTCATCCGGCAGCAGCCTGATTTGTGGAGAAATCCCGTTTCGTTCCTTAGAGGGTGATATGTGATGACGTCACTTGTGTGCCCTTCTTGACGTCATCAAGTGACATCGCATCTCCCTCTAAGGAACGAAACGGGAGGATTTCTCCACAAATCTGGCTGTCGCCTGATGAAGCTAGTTGTAATTACTGGCGAAACGTCGTGCTCAGATTGTAAATGTTGTGGCTTTGCTCTCTAACACACCGGTGTGCTGTACTAGTGTAGTGACTGACTCAGAGACACTAAGAGTAGGAGGCACTCTGTTTATTAACACGGCCTTAACAGTTAACACGTGGTAACTACGGTTCCCAGTCAGGACAGCTGGCAGGCTGCCTGACTGGCGGAGACGACGGTGAAGACTCCGGCAGCACGACGGGGTTCCCGCTTCACGCGACAGCCCCGAGGTCCCCTCCCAGGGCCCCTCTTATACTGTCAGCGTGGCCTGGCTCCGCCCCCGGCCACACCCCCTTCCGGAACCTACTAGCGGGTTCTCGATGTACCCCTTCTGTAACCTTTGCCCTACATCCCTCTGGTTTATCACGTGACCTGCTGTCGTGTCAGGGCTGCTGTAAGCTGCAGATCCCCTTCCCTACCAGCAGCCAGCGCTATGCTGCTACGTGACCGATTTTATGTCACTACACGAGTAACGAATTGGCATGTTCTGTTTACGTGACAAACCTCTACGAATTGGCTGTGTCGGGTGATGGCGGGTTTAATGACACTTTTATATATGTATGCGATCTAATCCAAAAATACCAGTATTATGGATGATAAAGGTCGCGAAAGCCTACGTGTTAAACTATCTACATGTTAATCTGTCTAAAGAAGGGTAATTGCCCACTTATGTAATCTTACTCTGAGTCACTAATTAGGCAGTTGCTATTTTAACTTCAAATTATATTTAATAGAATATAAATGTTTTTTTATCGTCATAATTTATTTTTATACCACATCTCTATGCAGTACACCTGCAGGCATGGATACTTTATTATCAGATATCTAATCCTATAATCTTATTGGAGATTGACTAGTGACCTTTACTATCATGTAAAAAAAGAATTGTATAATTTCCACGTACTTTTTCAATGTGCTGCAGAATGAGAACATTATTTATGTCAGTCCTCTGCTGGAATTATGATCTACCTACACTGTGCTGGTCTTGACGGTTGTGTTACCATACTTGACCATGGTGGGCATTGCTCGTTGGGTGAAGAGCAGCCCCCTGGGGTAGTTTAGACCTTAGCTGAGCCTGAAAATCAAACTCGGGTCACCAAGTTCACAGTGCAGTGCATTAAGCATTGTGCCACTATTCCCGCTGTGGTATTGAAAATGTAAATGTTTTAATTAAAGACTTTAACAGCATATTCTTGAATTTTGATTTAAAGCTTTCGTGACTGCAGGGATTCATATTCTTGGTTCTTTCGGTAAAGTCACATAGAAGGGAAACAAAATAATAAATAAAAATATAAAACAATCAAATTCTCACGACGTTTCGACTGCAACGCAAGCAATCATCATCAGGTGTGAAATCCACAGCAAGAAAATTCACACCTGATGATGATTGCTTGTGTTGCAGTCGAAACGTCGTGAGAATTTTATTGTTTTAATATTTTTATTTTATTGCTTGCTTTCTACGTGACTTTACCGAAAGAACCAAGAATATGAATCCCTGCAGTCACGAAAGCTTTAAATCAAGACTTTTTAACAGCGTTCATAACTTGGTTGTTTGGTATTTTCATGCATGACCAACAACGCGTAGAGCATATACAATATGTACACGTGGTATATGTGAACGAATAAACACGGCCTGTTCTTTGTGCGCTCATCCAGGGTGCTTGACGACAACAGTCCAACGAGTGTCGGTGCCATGGCTTACATGTGGAGGTGGTATCAAGGCCTCATGGTCAGACATCCATGGAAGGTCCAGATCACTACTGCCGGTACGCTGTCAATTAATCTCGCCTCCCCCCCCCCCTCCCCACCGTCTGCACCTATTCCGTTGTGACTTATTGACATTACAACTGGGTTACTCGGCGGTAGAAAAGCGAGCAGCTCTCAATTGGAGCGTTGCAATTTCATATCTTGGTTGGAGGGTTGACTCAGCCAATCATCCCTGCAGGGGTCGATAAAATTGCTACCAATTTGTGGGGAGAGTGAACAGTGGTTGTCCCATGGAGATACTCGTCCCTGCTGTCAGATAGTGGATTTTTCTTTACACTGCCCTAGGGCTGTAAACGGGAGATGAGTACAATCTCACTGCTCGTTTGAGCAGTAAATCACTTATACTTTTTTAATACATTTCTGAGAAACAAACTTCAAAAGTTTGCTTCTGAAAAAATTTGAAAAGTTAAATGAAGTGAGAGATGAAAAAAAGCTTATTTTCTGCTGCATGGAGGTGTATGCACTTGCCAGATCCTGTTATTTGTACCTATCTACCAACATAACTTATTCATTTGTCACAATGTGTGTATCACTTCCCTTTATCTGCTAAAAACCGTGGGTAATAGCATGAAACTAGCACTTTTGGAAGACCTGCTAAGCAACGCTTACCTACAAATAAATGCAGATAAATGTGCAGAATGTTCTGCCACTGCAGCAGATGACGCGTCATATCTGAAAAATGTGTGGACAATTAAGAAAAATCTTATCTCTGGATTATTTTATTTTGTGGCTCCATTTTGGCCACCGACATAAGGCGTAATGCTTCGTAGATCTGAGGAGTTCACTGGGAGGCAGTGAAACTCTTGGTGGCCCACACCTTTCACAAATGTTAACCAATTTTCTCACCACAAGCAATGGTGTTTTTATGCTCCTTGAAGATTTTGTATAAGGTGTGTGATCATTCATCAGAGGTTTTTTTTTTTAGTGACCAATTGGCATGTTCTGTTTACGCGACAACCCTTACTAGTTGGCTGTGTCGGGTGGTGGCGGGTTTAACGACACGTATTTACGCGATCTAACACAAAAAAAACCTCTTATGGATGATATTGATCGCGAAAGCCTACGTGTTATGTGTGATAATTATTGTTCCATGCCCAATTGTTTATTTTTGCTCAGGTGCAGTTATAAAATAGTGGACCAAGGAACGCTCACTGTTTGTACTAAAACCTTCAACGGGTATAGTTGGGCGGATGTGCAAAGGCACCTTGAAGTTGTGTTGACCCAAGCTTCAAAATACATACAAACATCTATTGAACTGGACACATTTGGCGATATAACTGCAATGATCCAGAAATGTGTCATTAATGCAGTGTGTTGTGTCACGATTCGGATCAACACACAAATCAAGCTGATGGATCCATCCATATATGCTTTGTTCTGCCCAATTTAGTGCCCAGAGTAGGCCATCCTGAGCAATTGGCGCAGTTGGTAATAGCGCCACACACACAAGTGGGGCCATAAATCCTCACCTGTTTTACTGCTGCCTCCATTTGTGCTATGCCAGAGTGAAACAATTTCCTTTTGATGGCGAGCGGAATGGTTTATTACCACATCGAGCAGGTACATGTGGCATCTGTTTTTATGAATGAATTTTTCCTTCCGGCTGGTTTCATTCATGTGTTCCAACGCGTGCCTACAAAGTTTTGCAAAGCAATTAGGTGCACGTAAAGGTGTGCGAGTGGTGGTGTAATGGCTCATGCACCGTGCAACGAACCTGATAACCTGAGTTTTATTCCCGGACGAGTCTTAACGTCCAAGTGGTCCTGGGCACCCCACCTTTACCTTTTCACATTGACCAACGTGGTGCAGTGGAGTCAAACAACCTTCATAACTGACATAGCATGTTGCGGCCTTCATTCAGCAGTGGATTCACAAATGGCTGAAAATGTGTAATATATATTTTTTTAATGCAAACCATGGTTTGCAGTGAGGGAAAAAAAGTATTTGATCCCCTGCTGATTTTGTACGTTTGCCCACTGACAAAGAAATGATCAGTCTATAATTTTAATACAAAATCCAAAAAAACGCATGTCAAAAATGTTATGAATTGATTTGCATTTTAATGAGGGAGATAAGTATTTGACCCCTCTGCAAAACATAACTTAGTACTTGGTAGCAAAACCCTTGTTGGCAATCACAGAGGTCAGACGTTTGCACACATCTCAGGAGGGATTTTGTCCCACTCCTCTTTGCAGATCTCCTCCAAGTCATTAAGGTTTCGAGGCTGACGTTTGGCAACTCGAACCTTCAGCTCCCTCCACAGATTTTCTATGGGATTAAGGTCTGGAGACTGGCTAGGCCACTCCAGGATCTTAATGTACTTCTTCTTGAGCCACTCCTTTGTTGCCTTGGCCGTGTGTTTTGGGTCATTGTCATGCTGGAATACCCATCCACGACCCATTTTCAATGCCCTGGCTGAGGGAAGGAGGTTCTCACCCAAGATTTGACGGTACATGGCCCCGTCCATGGTCCCTTTGATGCGGTGAAGTTGTCCTGTCCCCTTAGCAGAAAAACACCCCCAAAGCATAATGTTTCCACCTCCATGTTTGACGGTGGGGATGGTGTTCTTGGGGTCATAGGCAGCATTCCTCCTCCTCCAAACATGGCGAGTTGAGTTGATGCCAAAGAGCTCCATTTTGGTCTCATTTAACCACAACACTTTCACCCAGTTGTCCTCTGAATCATTCAGATGTTCATTGGCAAACTTCAGACGGGCATGTATATGTGCTTTCTTGAGCAGGGGGACCTTGCGGGCGCTGCAGGATTTCAGTCCTTCACGGCGTAGTGTGTTACCAATTGTTTTCTTGGTGACTATGGTCCCAGCTGCCTTGAGATTATGGACAAGTGCCTCCCGTGTAGTTCTGGGCTGATTCCTCACCGTTTTTATGATCATTGCAACTCCACCAGGTGAGATATTGCATGGAGCCCCAGGCCGAGGGAGATTGACAGTTCTTTTGTGTTTCTTCCATTTGCGAATAATCGCACTCTTGGCAATGGTCTTGTAGCCCATTCCAGCCTTGTGTAGGTCTACAATCTTGTCCCTGACATCCTTGGAGAGCTCTTTGGTCTTGGCCATGGCGGAGAGTTTGGAATCTGATTGATTGATTGCTTCTGTGGACAGGTGTCTTTTATACAGGTAACAAACTGAGATTAGGAGCACTCCCTTTAAGAGTGTGCTCCTAATCTCAGCTCGTTACCTGTATAAAAGACACCTGGGAGCCAGAAATCTTTCTGATTGAGAGGGGGTCAAATACTTATTTCCCTCATTAAAATGCAAATCCATTTATAACATTTTTGACATGCGTTTTTCTGGATTTTGTTGTTGTTATTCTGTCTCTCACTGTTCAAATAAACCTACCATTAAAATTATAGACTGATCATTTCTTCGTCAGTGGGCAAACGTACACAATCAGCAGGGGATCAAATACTTTTTTCCCTCACTGTATATGTTATGAATTAGTTTTGGCAATGTCCTGTGCTGTTTCATATATAATATGGTTGTTACAGATGTTGCCCAATTAACTAACATAACTAATAAATGTTCGTATACAAATATTAAAGTGTGGCCATTTAGTTCTTATGTTCCCACTAAACATGGAACATTAGTCTAACAATGGACCAACATTGGTGCAACGGTTCCAACCACATAACAGCAGTGGCCCAACGTTGCGTGTTTATCGGGTGTTGGGTTAATCATGACTCGTCTGCTTGAAAAGTGTGTTGTAGTTCATTAATACAGCAGTTTATAATGGCATTCAAATACACCTATTCAAGAAAAAAATATTGTAAAAGCAAACTGCAGCCTATAGCACGATGATAAGCGCACAACAGTGCTGTAATTTTACATTGTGCTCGTCATGCCATTTTTTTAATAGATATTTCTACTTGCCTAAGTTACATTTAATTTGTAAGCTTCCATAACCAATATTATTCATAATTCGTTTTTATTTTGGGTTAGATCTTACAGGTATAATGTCACTTTTTAATGACTACCCTCTACCACCTGACAGAGCCAATCAAATAGAGTTGTCACATGGGCAAATATGCAAATTGATTCGTCTTTTTTCAGCAAACTGGAGAAATGTTGAAAAGCAAGCGAAAGCCAATCTCTCTATCTTTTTTTTATCTTTGTTTTTTTCTATCTCACATGCGAGAGTTCAGTTTTTCGCTGACACATGATGATGCCGGATTGCTGGATGTAATCTCCAGATTGCCTTTCAGCATTCCAATTGCCATATTTGCCGAAGTTTACGTCTTCATCAGATCTGAGCATGTTGCTTTAATGAAGTGCATTGTGTACCACCGCGTGGGTTTTCACGGTCGTGCTGTGTAGCTCTACCGGTATGTGTGGCAAGATGCCTGTCTGAAGTTCTTTTCCCTCCACATGCTGGGAACTTCTTGAAGAAGTGCATTTATTAGTTTCGAGTATTTTGTTTCGAGTACACATCAGGGTGTTTACTAACAATCTCAGATACGGTTACTAAAACAGCTATGAAATAGAACCCTTCTCAAGGGCGCTGCAGGGATTTACTCACTACACTATGGATCTGATGAGCCGAGTTCGATTCCCAGCCATGGCTAACGTTAACTGTAAAGTACTGTTCTTCATGAATTGGTCCTTGCATTTCCTTTGCAAACATACACTGACCAGCCTGCTGAAGCATGGTCAAACAACCTCCATGTTAGACACAGCATGTGGAAGCCTTCATTCAGTTGTGCATTAAGCAAGGGTTGTACATTATTTGGCGTTTTTTTTTTAATACCATGTAGCTGTAACTAATGGGTCACGTGTTTTTAGTCTGGGTATTTTATCCAGTTATTAATAACGAAAGTACGACACGTACACAGATTTCTGAAAAAAATGACATACAAATCACAGTAGAATATTTAGACACTCCAACATTGCCACAATTATTACAATAATAGCTTCCACTATTACGCTAAACGCACTTTAAAATAAACTGTTAGGTAATGACGTGTTTTTTTTCCCCCTAACAGTCTCATCACTTCATTTACCTAAGTGTCTTTACGCGTCCTTTATTTATTTATTTATCACTACACGCGTACCTGAGGCACAATTAGAGACAATTAAGCACTGCCAAATCGATTAATGAGCTCTCTAATGGGAAGATTGATTCCCGGAGCCGACGAAACGAATTGCCGCGCTCTCCGCCTGCCGGGAGGGGCGTCGTCCCTCCGTGCCCTTCGGGGGTTCGCACCACGCTTTGTTTGCCAGACCGTTGGTGACCCGGTGACATTTCACGTTTCGTACGGCGCATACGTATGGGAGGGAGACAGCGTTACCCCTCGGGGGAACGTTTCCAGTTTGCCGCTCCTGCGCAGCGGCAAAACGCGGCCCAGTCCCGCGGATCCGAGCGCCCGACGTATTAATATTCAGCCGTCGTAACTCATACAAATGTCAGCGGTTGAAGAAGTGGGCAATGGTTTCGCTTGTAAATCGGCTTTGTGCGTAATGGATAAGGACACGTTAAACAAGTGGGCGCTGCCGGCTTGACCCCCATCTGTCTCCTCCACCTGCCTGTTCCGTCGTCCCTCGTGGCGTCTCCCGCCAGTGACTCACAAGGCAGGAGGGAGCCCCCGGAATTGTTAATAAGTGAGATGTATCCGTTTTAAACCCCCACAGTCACTATCTCTTGACCCCATACGTTTGTGACTTGTTCTATTTTCCCGTTGCGAGGAGTTGAAAGTGATTCATGGATATTTCGGTGAAAAACTATTTCATTTATTTTCTTTCCCCGCCGCCGTTTAGCCACGCTTTGTATATTGCCTTTCCGCTTCTCTGGTTCGGAAATTTTTCTGTAAAAAAATAAAATATTGAAGCAAAGTTTGCCCTGTAACAATACACACGCTCGCTAGATGCCTGAGTTGTGGCTGCTGCAGGATGAGCTTGCGCGCTTGGTCACCAATGATGATGAAATGTGACAAGTGGGTTTTCTGCTTCCCGCTGATGATTCACTAAACAAAACTCCAGGTGCTGAATTCACCTACATTGTCCTTTCCCACAGTGCAAGGGGAGTATAATTGATGAGTCTTCGTTACAGAAATGAAAGATCTAAAAAAAATTATACTAGTGAATTATTGAGCATTACTGTATCCATAAATATATGGACGAAGCATCCTCGTACGTACATATAAGTACATGTGTGCACATGCGTGTGTGTGTATATATACTCTACTAGCTTTACTACCCGGCTTCGCCCGAGACTTGGATTCTTGTCTTGGATTAATACACAGCCTACGCGGAGGGTTGGGGGGGGGGGGGATGCGTGACGTCAGCAGGCACACTGCGTGACGCTGCCGCGCAAAATATATCCATTATTGCACCCCCCCCCCCCCCCAAAAATACAAAAGTATTTTTATACTTTTTGCATTGTGTACATTCTGGAAGCTACCCACATGCCAAATTTCAAGTTTGTTGCATGTTGGGAAGTATGCTAAACATTTTGAACAGACACACATATTCACAAATTTCCCTTTTATATATATAGATAAGCATGTTAGTTTTGTATGTGCGTATAGTGAGGAGTGTAATGATTCACAACCTGATCCCCTCCTCTCTGATTTCATGAATGGTCGTGATTTGTGGTCACGATTCGACTCAGGAATACATTCCTTTTTTTATTGTGGTGAATGCAGGAGCCTCTATTGGCTGCAGGGGGTCACGTTTATGTTGTTGAACCAGGTGACAACTGAAGAAAACAATGAGGATAGTCAGATTTGCAATAGTGGCCTGGATCATGTAAACCCATTCCACAAAATATACACAAATAAATAACATCTATTTGGAAACTCATGATGAGATGCATTTATTGTGAGTTTTAAAGTAAACATTAATTCATGCGTAATTACACTGCTAGCATATGGGGTTAATAACTCATAAACTTTTCAGAGTTCAGAAAAATGAAACAAGTTGGAAAACACATCAGTTCCATTTACATGGGACCGACATGCAAATGCGTTTGAAGACATCGCATACTTTTCAATACTTGAGTTTTTGTGATTGCCACTTACACTGTTCATTAGTTAGTTATATAATTTAGAGCCCTTTCCTGGATGAAAGCCTCCGCATGCTGAGTCAGTCAATGGGGGGGGGGCGTTTGATCATACTTCTCCATGCTGGTCAGTGCAGGTTGGTGAAGGGGAAGAAGCCTATTACCAGTTTTCACTCGCCACTTTGTTAGTCGTGGCCAGGAATCGAACCCAAGTCACCGGGTTCACAGCGCTAATCGCTGCGCCACCGCTCCACCCCATTGTTATTCGCGTTGTTGAAACTAACGAAATGCCACGATTGCGAGGCCATGAAGTTACATTTCCTTCGTGCCGTTTGCAGGGACCATGTTCTCTGCTTCAAAAAATTCCAAATGCCTGGACTCTGTGCCCTGCAGTGGTTATCGATTTGGCGTGCCACAAAAGTGGCACGCCATTTGTGATGCATGCATGCACGCAGGGTGTCGCAGTGAGCGGCGTCAGTCACATTCTTGCACATTTGCTGAATGTCAAGCCAAATTTTGTTTCGTGTCTGCGAGCTGGCCGCAAAGTTTTTTCGACAAACCTGGGCTTTGTTTACAATCTACCATTGTCCCCTTTTGCCATCCAGGGCCAACTCAGCCCGGTACCAACATATGTACGATATGATAAGCTTGTGGCCTGAAATGTAAAAAAAATATATTGTAATAGACGACTGAATGCATCATCATTCATGTAATTATAACAGAAAATATTTTGCAGGTTATTTTGCGGTGGAACAATTCACCCTGCGCGCCTCTAGGCATTCCACAAATTGTCAGGATTCAATAAAAAAAATCGGTTCTCTTTTTTTACATTCCAGTGAATGGCAGGATCTCTAGTGGCTGCAGGGGTCACATGAACCCGTTACGTACACGAGTGGTGGTGCACTTCATGCATCATGACCTTAAGAATGGATATGTATCACGTCATTCCATCCCGAATGTTAACGTTTTTGGCAGTGTTTCTTTCGCAGAGCAAAGAATAATGGATAAGGCCCATCGCTCGATACCTTAGCCTAGTACAATATATATCTTTTGTATTCATGTTCAACTTCTTTTGCACCATACGTAACCAAGCGTACTAATCTGAGGTGCTGGGATAGGACAATAAACTAAACACAAAAAGTAGTTAAATTTTGATTTAAAGCTTTCGTGACTGCAGTAATTCATATTCTTAGTTTTTTCGGTAAAGTCACGTTGAAGAGAAACAACAAAATAATAAAATATATATAAAACAATAAAAAATTCTCACGACGTTTCGACCATAACTCAAACGGTCGTCTTCAGGTGTGTTGGTTGAAGACGACCGTTTGAGTTATGGTCGAAACGTCGTGAATTTTTTTTATTGTTTTATATATATTTTATTATTTTGTTGTTTCTCTTCAACGTGACTTTACCGAAAAAACTAAGAATACAAAAAGTAGTTATAAAGAAATTAGTTTTCAATCCAGATTTAAAGTGCATAGCTCCAGTGGCTTCCTAGAGGGAGCTGTAGAGGGCCTCTCTAAATGGATCTATGCTAAGAGCCAATATTAATGACAAATGTGACAGAGCTCTTTTTAATCCGTGGAAATCTAGGCTTTGTGTCATGCCAGGGCATTCAGACACATGGCCGGTAATTGAATTTCATATTCATATCTGTGACTAAAAATGTCCTTTACAACAGACAGAACATTTTGAAATGTGAAAAAGATAAAAGTGATATGCTAAGTTGTTAACTTTTTTGCTAATTGGTTTTCCATATTTCATCGTAAAATATTAAATTTTACATTTTGATGTCCCATGCTGTAATTGAGACTTAGATTTATAATTCTGATTCATCATTTTGTGGCAGGAATTGAGTGTAATCAGCCCTTACTTATGAAGTCCCTAAATTCATGAGACGCATTTTTCACATTAGCATTCATTGTTTGCAGAGTTGAGATAAGCAGCCATATGTTAGGTAAATCCATATTTAGTCTCATTGAATATTTTTTTTATATTTTTCCCATATTACGTGTCATTTACTTCTGCGTGAGCTGTGATTTTGCGAGTTAAGTACAAATTGATTTGATCTGATTTGTCTCAATGTGAGGATGAATTCAGGTACGGCATTATGTGCGTGGATGTGCTAAAGGCTCCACGCTGTGTTTAAAGAAAAACTATGATTAAATTAATGCAATTGGGTCCGTAAATGTTTAGATAATTTTCACTCTTAGGGTGTTTGCGTTCATATGAAAGTGCTACAATATAACTTCGTTATCTAAATTGTCAGCTTTAAATGCCTGTCAATCAAATTCACGAAGTCCGGTATCACCAAAGGAAGAGCCCATTGTGATTTTGAATTTGCTGTTTCCACGTAATATTTAAGAAATTTGATTTATTATTAATCTCCCGTATCAGTATTCACCGCGAGAGTCGATGTTCATTTTTAAGCGCAAAAGCCCTGGATGAAAAGCCACTGTGGAGGAAGTTTTAGTCCAAGCCGCAGTACAATTTCACGGCATAAACAAGGCGGACTTGTTTATCACACAGAGCAATACCCAGCCCCGTGTTGTATAACAACGCTCTGCGCACCGGGCAAAAGGGCTCTTGCCCGCTGCATGGGGTAGAAAGAAAATGAGACTAGGTTCAGTTGAAATCCATATTTGTAGAATCCGTCCCCCCACCCCCTGGGATAATGAAGAAATAAAGAACCCATGGCCATATGTCAGGTGATAGCGGCTTGTAATAACCTGACACTGTGGCCTTGGGCAAGAGCAACGATCTGATCTGTCATTAATCATGGCTTGTGCGTCTGACCACACCAGGTAGCTTCGTTGGTGTGGGTGACATAATCTCCCAGCAAGTGGTGGAGCACAAGGGCCTCCGGAATCACGATCGAGCACGGACGGCCAAAATGATGCTCATTGGCTTTGCGTTTGTGGTGAGGTTTGCACGAGTCCAATAATCAAACTGCTGCGGTTGTCGGTGTTTTGGAAGATTGTGTACCCCTGTTGTTTCTGCTTCTGTCTTGTTGAAATTTGTATAAATAATGTATATGTGTGTATATGGAGAGAGCGGTAGTGTAGTAGCGCTTAGCGCACCGCGCTACAAATCCGGCGACCCGAGTTCGATTCCCGCTCACGGCCGCCAGCAGTGAGGATTATCTGAGCCAGTCCTGGGGCTTCCCCTAGGTCGACACATCCTCAAATGAGCACCTGGTGCGGTGTGTAAACATCGCCACTGGGGAGACAAAGGCGGCCGGGCGTGGTTTTAGCCACCCACCCCCTTGTGTGCCGCGCCGTCCTTCAGAGGTGCTCGCTAACAGCACTTGCCCCAAGAGTCTCTTGCAGACTATACGGGGGATCTTTATATTTGTGTAAATGTATGCAACTACTGCAGTGCAGAAGTTGAATCAAGATCCGATTTCAGGTTACACGAATGCAATAGCGTGGGCTTCTGTCTTCATCAGTTTTTCCTATTTAATGCACGCAGCTGATTGAGGAGTAAACTGTAGTAAAAAAAAGGAAGGCTACAGGGAAAGCAAGGGGTGGAGAGGAAATTCTCTTCTCCCTGTGTAGTCAATGCCGAAGGAATTCCATGAGTTGGTGAACTCACCCCGAGAAGCAATTCTGGGGACGAGTTGGGTTGGAGTGAGAGGGGGCGAGGGACTGTGGACAAGAGCGATAATTTTATTCAACGAGCCAGCTATGACATTCATGTTGGCATGTTGGGCTGGAGAAAAATAACGGGAACCAGATCCGATGTAACGTCGAAGATCCTTCGGCGTAATCAATCATTGTTCTTAAGTCACGTCATCCCGTGGATCATTATACTTCAGCGCTCGAGAAGAGACGGGGTTAATCAATGTGAGCCTTCCATATCAATAGTAGCATGTACAGTAGGCGGAGGTGAACTACTTCCTACCCTGCATTGAGAGCCTTGCCTTCCCTCGGAGCTCCCAAATATAGGTTTTTATAATTTTTTAAAGAGAGATTGTACCGCCCCCCCCTGCCCCCCCCCCGGCATTAATTTTGCCCCCCCTCTTCGGCTTGTACAAATCGAATTATAGTAGCAAGGCTTTGGGGGTTTTTTGTTTACCACTCGCCACTACCACCTCATCAGTTGTACACAGTCGCAGATTTAACAGATTGACGACGCATCCGAGGTCAGGCTTCGCTTCACGTGAGCACCTCACCCCCGTTCCACTTCGGTTGCAACATCGTATTGGCCTTAAGTGAGCACCTGTTTATATATATATAAACGTCAGCACTCGGGGGAGGACAAAGTTGGACACACCGCTCCTCATGTGCCTTGCTTGCACCCGCCTTCATAAGCACTTGCCATTAGTAGCCCTTTCCGTTGCGGTCTCTGGGGCTGAACAGGCCTCCGTTGTCTTTTGTGTGTGCGTGTGTGGGTTTGTGTGGCTCGTTGTGTTTGTGCGTGCGACACACACTGCTCGCAGGGACCTGTGATTGGGGGCTGGTACCGGGTGCTGGATCGGCTGGTTCCTGGCACCACCAAGACTGTTGCCCTCAAGAAGATGGCGCTTGACCAGGTAATTTGGTTCTCGTGGTTTGGTTAATATGCTGTATAGCTCATACACGTCCATCCGACTGCTAGATGAGCACCTACAATCACTGAACCACCGCTCCGTATACACAACGCTGGTCCCTACGTGTTTGTGAAGGTGAAGAGCATATATACGTGCCTGTACGGTACAGTACAACAATGGCTTTTTCTGCACTGCCCACTGTCGCTCGCAACGTAACAACCTGCTCGAAGCATGGTGGTCGCCTATCTAACCACAATTCTGGCTTCGACCCGCTTGGCTTCCAAGATTTAATGAGGTCGAGCACATTCCAGGGTGTAGCACATACAGCAATGCTCTGTAAGAAGAAAACCTCTGATCCAGCTCTGTAGCCTGCATAGGCAAAGGGCTGTTAACGAGCACCTAATAATCCTGGGGAGTAATAATCGGCATCAAGTCCCATGGCTGCCGCAAGACATCATGTACTTTATTTTATTTTTATTATTGGTGGTGTAACGGTTAACACACTGGACCTACAGTCCAGAACGCGCCGGTTCAATCTCCAACCATGGCAATTCACACGACGGTGCAAGTGACTTTCATCCCCCCGCCTCTGTCAGCCGAGCAGAATATCTGGGAAAGACCGCAGTTAGTCGATCAACAGCTCTTGTGGAGTGGAATAAAGCGTGAGTACTCCCACCTCTATGGATGAGTATGCCAAATACTCTCTCGAGGGGCTCTAAAAGATGCCTCGACTGGCGGCCCTTCTGCCAGCAGCGGCACGAACAAGCAATTGCAGGGCTGCGACTTTACCCTTTCTTCAATTCTCGCCCGCAGGGAGCTTTTGCACCGCCCTTTCTCGTGGGCTTCATGTCCATCGTGGGGACGCTGAACGGCCTGACGAACCCCCAGATCCTGGACAAGCTCCGCAGAGTACGTCCGGCCTTTCACTCGATACGGCAGCGTTCATTTCGTCAACAGAATTGACGACGAAAGTGCGCTCGTCAACCGGAGAGGTTTTTCTTTTCTTTTCTCGAACGGGTTTCCGTCAACGGTGACGGTGAGCGGACGAAACTCGTCCGGCGTGACGATTACTGCGAGCGGCCCGCCAGAGACTCACGCGCGACCGAGCGCGACGGGACAAAATTTACGAGTCTGAAGTAAATGCAAAGTAACTTAGTAACGTCGTTGGAGAAGACTGCATCGAGGAAAACCAGAAATGGCAATTGGCTGTAGAGTATATGAAAATTGATCTATCGAGGTCACGTGGCTGACCTGATGATATTCGTGGGAAAGGCAATTGCGTACCCCTCAAGCCAATATTGAATAAGTCGGCGTGTTTGACTAAGTGGTTGATTTTAGAACTGCTTTTTGTGTTTAGTTTATTGTTCTTCCCCCGCACTTCCGATTAACACTTTTAGCCACTTACGGTGCGAGAGAAGTTCAACATACATACATAATATGTGTATACGTACTACTAAAACTAAGAGAATGACATGAAATCCAGAGACAGGACTAAAACTCTGCGGAGTTTTAGTCCTGCTGGACAAATACTATGACTAAGTTAAAGGATGCTGCCTACTTCACCCACATTGCAGCAGATGAACCATTTCCGCCTACAGCACAGCTTTGCCTCGATGTAGAGTTGTAGAGTCCACCACTTGGACGTGTGTGGGTTTTCACCGTGCACCCCGGCTTTTATTCCACACAGTAGAGACACATTCGCAAACGATGTTACAGTAACTGATGTGCCGGCCACGTGGAAATTTTCTTTCGCTTGCGCGGTGCTTTTTTCGGGCCGTGCCACGTCTCGTTCGGCACGATTTTCCGACGTGTTCGCTCCGCTTGCTTGGGAGCTTCTTCCCTATCTAAACTCTGAGCTGTACTTCACAACCGCGAAAAAAACTATGGCAGAGTAGTCAAAGAGTTGCTGACATTTGCGACGGGCGTAAATGTGCCGCGGGCAACCTGTGTCGCAACAAGATAACACGTTTTGCTGAAGTCTGAATGCCTCGGCAACGTGAAGTCTACGGCGGAGTTGCCACCGTTTGGTTTGGGGGAATGCGGCGGGTTTTAAAATGAGGCTTCCAACATTGATTGGAGAGCATGGACCAACATTAATCAAATGGATTTGCTGTCCCGAGCGCCAGGTATAAGCCATGTTCTCTGTGCCGGCGCGTCTTCCGGGGACGGTGCAACTTGCACCGCTGCATGAATTTTAACCTTGCCTGACCCTCGGCAGTTTAAAGGTTGCCTTTGCATGCCCACTAACTCACACTAATAACCTTGCTTTGCACAGCACAATTGAATTCAAGAAATGTGTCCCGCGATTACGATTGGCCTTTGGAAATTCATTCCGATGAACGTTGGACTCTCACATACTATAGCGGGCACACGGCCTTAGACTGCCAAATTCAAAAGGCTTACAGGACGTGCTGCTCTTTTAATTTGTTCTGGTGGTGTGCGTCATACTCTGTATGGTGCTGTCCCGATCCAATACATTCACTGTCTCAAGGATTGATCACAACATCCACATCTATTGAGGTCCTGCCCCCGCACCTGCGATTAGCGACGTTGGCTACGTACGGTGCGAAAGAAGATCAACATACATAGTACATGTTGTCACATAGCATACGCATATGTTTAAATTTACAGACGTGCTATTGTTATTATTTTATAGTCACGTGTGTGTATTTGGTGTGAGTGTTGTGAGTGGATCTGCGGAATGTATTACAGTTGAACATTTGTAAATTTTAAACGTATTTTTGTAATATTAGATGTTTACGTTATGGTAAATGTATTGTTTCTGTTACAAAATGCCAGTGTTCAGTTACTGAGTAAGCGTATTTTTTTATCTTCAGACCAGGATTTTTGTGCGTACTTGAAAACTTAGTTACTCGGGGTTTAGTTGGTAACTTAAACGCAAGCACTTAATCTTGCCACAAGTGTCATCGTCATTATCGTCATCGGCCATGATCTGTCCACATCTTGATGAGGGTCGCCTTCAGCCATCACCATTTCTCACAGTCTTGCTATGCAACAATCCATCTCCATCCTGCACGTGAGCCGATTTTATCATTCCATCTTCACGGTGGACATCTTCCTGGGCGTTTTCTATCGACCACCGCTTCATCATTTGTGTTGATCATCGTCCCATCTCGCCCTGTGTCCCACCCAAACCCACTTTTCTTCAGTCAATCTCTCTGTCTGTGTGTGCGCCACATCCTTTCTCAAAAAATGTTGGCGATCATGGCCTCCCATCCATTTATCTCTGCCGATGATATTTACTCAAGAACTTCGCATTAGTCTCCCAGTAGCATCCAATTGCTCAAATTGTGATTTAATTTGCAGTTTTCCCAGGCTTCTCGTACCTATAATTTACCCAGTCAAGACATTACATAGTCTCTTGTGTTCCCATTACATGTCCAAGAAATATAACGTGCCTTTCTCTAATGTTCTCATTACTTAACAGTCAACAATCTGCGAACTTGTGTGTGCTCCCTGATTCATCCCTATGTTCCCTGTTTGTGTCTCAGCGTAATTCCAAGTATAATAAAACATTTATTTATTTTATATTGCGTCAATCATGCCAACTGCATCCCACAACGCTGAAAATATACGGCCAAATCCTATTTACAGCAACTACCAAGCGAATGAAAACACTCAGGAAATAAATATGAATAAAACAATTAAAGAAATGGCACCGAAACAAAAAGGCACACAGAACAATTTTTTTTTTTATCACAACAGACAAATTAGTACTTAACGTCACATCCTTGACCACAATCCCAATTTCTGACCCAAGCTAGGAAACCTTCACAGGAGTGGGCGGTGGGGCCTATGTTTCTAAATGTGAACGTCATTAAAACCAAGAATAATAATTGTGTATTATTACGCTTCTCTAGCCAGGAAAGCCTCGCTGAGTCTCAAAACTCTTTTACATGAGGGTCCTGCCAAGTTTTCGCAGGAGCGGGTGTAATCATCAATTGAGTCATTTGTTCAATACCGGTTACATTTGTATATTATCTTCAGCTATGGGAGGAAACCGGCGAACCCAGGTGCAACGAAGTAATGCCATGCTAAACAGGGGGAGAATATACAAACTCCACATATCAAATGCAGGCCCATTTTGCTGTGGGTAGAATAACTTATGCCACGCCACCCTGCAACCCGAATCGAACAACTACATGGAGTTTGCAATGAAGAAAGTAACAAACAAAATACAAAACTGAATGGGAGTCTGGCAAGGAGATACACCTTCGCCGAAGTTATTCACCACGACAGTTGAAGCTGGTTTCTGAAAATTAGGCCGGATAAATAAAGGCATAAATATAATTGGAGAAAATTTTTAACCGATTAATATTTGCCGTTGTTTCATTTGTATTAATTTACCTGATTATGATACCTGGTACTAGTTCAATTGCAGTTAAGTTAATTACACTTCAAAATACACATAGACAGTAAATGTCGTAATTAAAAAGAATTCCACGTTTTGCATTGGGCAACAAATAAAATAACCATGCGAATCTTTCGGGAAGTGCATGTGGGTACACAAAATATGTAAAAAATCAGCTTTAATCCAAAATCCTGTGTGAAAAGGGTTGAGCTTATAACCCTGGGTTTGGCTGACATCTTGACAGCCCAGTCCCCTACAGGAAAACATCAACGCAATGGTTTATTCAGCGGCGCACGTTTTTTACATCTTACGGAAAAAAACATTTACTCCGAGGGGGAGATAAAAAAAAAAGTTACAAAGAGCGATATTTCTACCAAGTATTTGAGCGGGTGGAGGTGTGGGTGCAGTGGTTATTGCACTGCGCTCCGAGAAAAACCGACCTATCCGTTTAATTCTCAACCACTGCTATCATCAGCGGCGAGTGATATCTCAACCAGTCCAGGCCCTAACCCCCCCCTGGCTGGCAATCTACCTCACCTACCCGCGCTGAGTAGCAGCGTGTTAAGGTACGGGGGCGATCCATTTATAAACACCCCACTGATTTCTAATGACCCTCTTCTCAAGGGGTTATTGAGCATTGCGAAAGTGACGGCTCTGTGTCTTGTCAAGGGGAGAGTGTTAAAATATGCATTACGTGTATTGGGATTTGCGGGAGACATGCAGAGAGGCACGGAGATTAAATGTTTTTCCTATACATTCTAACCCCCTCCCCCATATGTTATTCGTGGGGTATCTATAAACGGATCACCTGGTATAGTCACCCCCCATGACTTACACAATTGTAAACTAATAGATTGAATCGTTAGCATTAAACATTGTTTAATTCGACTCGTGAAGACGCCCGCAGAAGTACGTTGCGAAAGCGTTCCAGCCCACGATAACTGTCCTTGAACTGTAACAGTTATTCGAGACGGGGTTCTAAATCACAGCTAACCACACCTCTTCTTTAGTTGATTTAAATGAACAACTCCCTGAGCAAAACGAGTTGATACCTAATGTGCTATAATCGCAAGTCACGTCTTTTTTTTCGGGAGTTTTAACATTTCTAGATTTGAAGCTTTCGTGACTGCAAGGATCCATACTCGTTGGTTCTATTCGGTAAAGTCACGTAGGTAAAAAATAAAACAACAAAAATCACGACGTTTCGGCCACAACACAAGCGAAACGTCGTGATTTTTGTTGTTTTATTTTTTACCTACGTCACTTTACCGAATAGAACCAAAGAGTATAGAGTTTTAACATATCGCCGCGTCAAGGTTAAAGAGCGCTTGGTTTACTGTTAAGTAGGCATGAATAACAGTAGGAATGTTTGACTGAAGGCACTTAAGCCGGACCATTAGTGAGACGTCTTGGACCCTCGTGCCATCGTCGTGCGCTTTCAGACTTGGGAGAACACGGGAGGCCGAGGGCTCGTTCACGAACAGCCTGGCTTCGCGCTTGGGCAAGCTCCTCGGACTCGGGCTCCGTGTGCTTGGCG